GCAAGGAGCCACCCTTATCCTGAGCAGGGCAACAGGTAAAGCTTGATCCCAATGGAGGTGAGTTTCTTGACACAACTTGGTTATTTTTTCCCACAAGGTGCAATTCATTTTCTCTACCTCCCCAGAAGCCTGAGGTCTCCATGCCATTGTGGAGTCTCCACTTGATTCCTAAACATTTACTAAACCTTCTGTGTAATCTCTGAAACAAAAGCAACTCCATTATTGCTCTGGATGCTGCCGGGCAGGCCAAAGCGAGAGATTATTTCCCTCAGTAAGTCTTTCGCCACCTTGAGGATCTCCCCTTCGAGTTGGGTAGGCTTCTACGCATGCTGGAAAGGTGTCAGCGAAGACTAGCAAATACTTCCACCCTTGGACCCTTGGCATCAGGGTAACCTCTATTTGCCAGTTCTCAGATGGGCTCTGTCCTTAGTATTGTTTCCCTTCTTTCTTGTGATGGGGATCTGCCTTGGGGTTGTTCTTCCGGCACACAACACATCTAACAATTATTTTTCATACGGCTTTAGAAATTCCAGGACCTGTGAGCCACAGTTTAATATACGCGGTGATGAGTCCCTTCCACAGCGATTGGTCTCATGCAAATGCTTCATGACTGGCCCTACTAAATGTCCAGGAAGCAGAGCAACTCCTTCTCATTCTTTCTCCATCCACTGTCAGCTCCTTCTTATCAAAACCCTGGCTCTCAGCTTTCTCTACGTCTGGAGTCAAACATTCAGGGTCAGATTGTGAGAAGTCTAGAACTGGCACCAAAGGCACTACAGATGTTCTTTAAGCAGCCCCTTTGGTTGCTCGATCAGCCAGGTTGTTTCCTCACGCCACTGCAGTGCCCGCTTTCTGATGTCCTGAGCAGTGCATAACCGCCACCTGGAAAGGTACCTGAACAGCCTCTAATAATTTTAAAATTCCTGCTGCATGCTTTTTTAATCTCCTTTTTATTGGCAGTTAATGGTTCTTTTTCCTTCCAGTGGAACTATGTCATTGCAAAATTAGAAAAATGTACCTTGAGCTGATACACACATTCACTCTCTTTCCGTGCGGCAATTCCAGGGCCTTCATCAGTGCAATCAGTTTAGCTTCCTGAGCAGGGGTTCCCGGCGCCGAGGCCGTGACCTCTACTATTCCCCCAGAATCACAACTGCGCACCCAGCCTTTCTGTTTCCTTTGTCTGTATAACTGCTTCCATCTGCGTAGAGAGTCCACCTGCCTCCTCTAGAGGAAGGACCTGCAAGTGAATTCTGCTGGAATAAACCTTCATCAGGTATCTCAGCACAATCACGTATCAGCGCTGCCGAGTCAGGCTCCGGGAGAAGGGAGGCAGGGTTTCACTAACTGACAGTTTTGAGGGAGGCGTTGGGATTGTCAAGAAGAATAGCTTGGTACCTGCCCCTTCTTCCAGCGGTGAGTCACAAATTTCCCTTTTGCTCCAGCCAGCTCAGCACGTGGCTGTCCCAGGGAAGACTTTCAGCTTCCTGTCAGAGCTCACAGGGGGCTGTCACAGCTCTCGAGCAGGCTGGCCCCCCCTGGGCAGTGTGATCTAGTTTCTTTGACAAGTATGCGATGGGTTGCGCAATGTTGCTAAGCATCTGGGCAAGGACGCGGGCGGGGGGCGGGCAATGCCCTGCCGGTAATGAGCGTGTACCTGGAAGGGCTTTAGCAGGTTTGGAAGCCCCAAGGCTGGTGCAGAAGGCAGGTGCTCCTTCAGGGATTCAAAAGCCTGGGTGCACTCCTTTGTCCATTCCAAAGGGCCATATTCTGGTCCTTTCAGAGTTTTTCCATTTTAACAGATCTGATGTAGAAAATGGAGCATGTGCCCAATCATATCCAGCAAGCTAGCCCTCCAGCCCTAATCCCACTGGAAGTTTTTGCAAAGGGTATTGCTCTGCCCTGGTAGGAGCTTTTCCTCACCGAACTTGGTTCCCCGACAGGTTTGAGATGGCAAAACCAGTTCAGGCTCACTTTCCCGGTGCCCTCAAGAGTCAGGAGGAAGGCCCCCAGAGCTGGAGGGGCCGTGGGAGCTCTGCCCGTGCTCACAGCAGCCGTAACGTCTAGATCCACCCAGGCCCTCTCCTCTGAGCTTCTGCTGTCTTTCACAGGCAAATTCCCTTTTCTCTGGACCATGAATCTAGTTCCTTTCAATTCTGCATCCTGCATATGTAAGTTCATTAAAGTTTCTAGGCAAGGCATTTTGTCCCACTTCCCTGATCTTTGACTAAACAACTCTAGTTACAGTATAATACAGGAATTTAAAGACCCATTCAGCGGCCGGAGCTCTCCCGAGTCTAGATGATACAATACATAAGCCAAACAGTATTACAATAAAAACCACTTTGTTTTTAGTCATAGGTTTATCAGCATATGTCGACCAATCAGCCAAAATTTGCCCCAAAGGGTTGTTTCCCAAACCAGAAGACACCTTTTTACCAGAAAAGGCTCTGTAAATCAGAAGGCACCTTCGTTCCTGATCATCTAATTTGTGACCCAGGATTGTTACCTGAACCAGAAAGCTCAATGATTCAATCAAAAAGTGAATATTGCGGGAGGTGCTGAGAGTCGGAGAAGGAGGGTCCCCAAGTGAAATCACTTGGCAGCTGCCAGGGAGTCTCCAAATCCACAGCCCAGGGCCCCCAGTCCAGGCAGCCAGCGGGGCTCCCTGCCACATGCCCAGACTTCCTGGAGAGTCCCAGAGTCTGTCCCAAGGCGGAGTCCCCAGAATATGAAACTGGAAAAACCGGTGTCCAGGCTGCCTGTCACCTACCAGACCCAATAAGCAGAGACACGGATTGAATCCTTACGGGCGCTTCACTCAGAGGGCCGGCGTAGAAGACGGCGGGTTTCTACCCTAAGAGACCGTCTTAAATTCCTTTTAAACCAACCCTTTTTATAAGGAGAAGGAAAGTGGAGGTAAGGGGTGTGGAATTCAGGGGAAAAGTTAATCAGGTAAAAAGCTGCAGCATTCTTTCATCTGTGCCCAGGGCGGTGGTCTTTATCTGTGCCCGGGGCGGTGGTCTTTCATCTGTGCCCGGGGCGGTGGACATCTCACCCTGGAGCACAGTGGCTCAGATGCCATCTTGATGGCTTGCGGTCCTCCCGGGGCACAAAGGTGGAACGGCTTGTGGTCTGCTGGAGTCAAGGTGGGTCACATCTTCAGTTCCTGAAACAATAGCTTCCTACATGCATGGATTACTAAGCCTATTAGCTATTACCTGAAACTAAAATTTTTCCAACATTTGAACCCCCATCAGGAACTGGGATCCTGTCTAGACTAGTCCAGGGTGATCAGACATCACCCAGGTGGTGGAGCATGAGGAATCCAACCTGATATGCAGGGTCAGAGGTTCTGGTCAAACTGACTTAGCAGCATCCTTGCTAAAATTGGACAATGCAGAGACAAACATGAAAGTCTAAAATTCAGGCTGTAACACAGGAGCTCCAAACCGGGAAGCTGTTTAAATGTTCATGATATTCCAGGAGAAAACCCCACCCGGTGGGCTAGCAGATATGAACATGCCTGCTGTCCACTGGAGCACATCACAGCGGGTGCTCCAATGGTGGTGGGTGGGTGCCAGAGAGACCACACCTCTGCTAGCCTGAGGCTTGTTATAAGGGTCCCAGACAAAGGAAGCACAGGTCCTACAGGTGACTCTACACTACGTTACCTCTGTAGCTATGTGCAGAAAGAAAAGGTCAAGAAGCAGTTGCAGGACAAGAAGCTGCTCAGAAAAGGACCTAAGGAGAGAGTTACAATCCATTCCCAAAAACAGTACACGTTCCTTCTGGCCAGGAGCCCCCTGGCCAGCCCTGTCACAGGTGGTGGGAGAGCCATATATTGACCCCACATAGGCTTCACAGGTGGTGGGAGAGCCGTATATTGACCCCACATAGGGCATCCCTGGCGGGGGGGGCTCAGTTGGTTGGAGCATTGTCTCATACACCAAAACGTCGAGGATTAGATTCTGGGTCAGAGCACATGCCTGGGTTGCAGGTTCCACCCCCAAGGCTCATACTAGAGTCAACTGATCAATATTTCTCTCCCTCTTTCTAAAATCAATAAGCATGGCCCTGGTGGTGTGGCTCAATGGATAGAGTGCCTCCCTGAGAACAAAAAGGTTGCCGGATCGATTCCCAGTCAGGACACAGGCCTGGGTTGTGGGCCAGGTCCCCCAGTTGGGGGCATGTGAAAGGCAACCAATTGATGTGTCTCTCACACGTTGATGTTTCTCTCCCTCTCTTTCTCCCTCCCTTCCCCTCTCTCTAAGAAGTAAATAAATGAAGTCTTTTAAAAAAATAATAAAATCAATAAGCACGTTCTCTGGTGAGGATTAAAAAAAAAAAAAGAGTTCAGGAGAGCCTGAGTAGAATTTGGTCAAGGAGAGACTCTTTGTCAGCTCTTTCCCTATATTGTGCAGTCTCTTGGCTTTTGTTATTGTTATTGTTTACATTCTAATATTTATTGAACCCTTGTTATGCGTCAGGCATAACGTTCAGTGTTTTAGATCTGTTGATCCTCCTGACAGCCATGCCAGGCAGACCTAATTATGTCCAATTCAAAAACGATATATATGAAACTCAAAAAGTGAAGTTTCTGGCATAGGATTCCACATGCACAGAGTAATAGTGTTGAAGTTCTAACACGGATTTGTCCTATTTAAATGACCACTGTGCTAAGCTGGAAGTAGGGCAATGAAAAAGTTAAATATAAGCAAATAAATTCACTCCCAACCCCAGGGCCTACCCGTTACTGGGACAGACCGCCGGTGTCTTCCCGGAAATCCCCGCTGCCTCGGCTTGCAGCCAGCCCAGCACCTCCCCCGAGGCCCCGGCCTAGGCGAGCAGGCGCTGCACTTGGCGCTAGCCCGACCCTTGCCCGGCCCTGGGGGCCCGGCCTGCCCACCGCTCCGCCTCAGACGGCCACGCTCCCGCACTCTGATTGGGCGCCTCCAGAAGCGGGGCGGGCTGGCAGCGCGCGCCAGGTGCGGAGTAGCCCCAGCCGCCGCGCGCCATTCACCCTTTGCCCGGCGAGGCGAACTACCGACAGCGCGCGCCGCTGGGTCGCGAATTCTGCTCGCTCCCGCAGCAACGTAGGGCACGGGTGTCGCCAGGGTGGTGCGCGGGATCCCTCTTCGGTAGGTGGGCAGCTTCGGGTCCAGGTCCTCAGGGACCCCGGCGCTCGCCGAGCGCTCGGCTGTGAGCGTCTTCGGGTGGCACTCCCCACCCCCACGTGGCTCTGAGAGGCCCCAGGAAATAGGGAGCGCTTTGTTAGTGCGTGGGGTGAGGGGTCGGGCGGCGGCGAGGCGGCGGCGCCGGTGCCCGGCCGCGCACGGATGCAGTAGGGGAGGGGGCCTCAGCTTTGCGCCCGCCGCTCCCTGCTGAGCACTCTCTGGTTGAGGATTTAACATGTAAACGCAGCCCTTCACCTGCTACAGTGTCCTCACCCCAGAGCTGCGAGTCCAGTGCTATACTGTAGCCCATTTCACAGATGAGGAAGGTGCGGCTTGGAGAGAAGAACCGATTTAGGCGCCCCCCTGCAGCTAGCAAAATGGCACAGCCCGCAATCGAATCGGGCCGCACTGAAGCCTGCGCTCTCAACCACTGCGTTTATTTATGGTCGCGCTGCTTTCGGAGCGTGCGACCAGATCCCCGTAGGGGAGGACGGCGCCCTGTCTGCTGTCTGCCGCCTCTGCTCGAGGAGGCAGACGTCGCGTTGTGGGGCCCTTGCCCCGTTGGCCCGTGCTTCGAGGTTCTGGAGGTCGAGTGAACCTTGGTCAGCCGAGCCCAGTGCAGACTGGAACCATCATTCAGGCAGGTGGTGCTCTGGCAACACCAGTTTAGATTCTTAGGGAGTCAAAAGTTTTAATTTTTTATATGAGGGAACATGCAATGGAGGTGGGTAATTATGCTTTTATTTAGTGCAGTGTGGTGAAGAAGGGCTTTGAACTCGAGGTGAAACAGTGCAGATTCTCTTCATTATGTGACCTTAGACTGCTCAGCTCTCCGAGCCTCAGTTTTCTTTTCTGTAGGGATCACAGAATCTTTATGAGACAGACGCCATGCAACAGAGTGGTTCCACTTGTGACCAAGATTTGGAGGCGTGGGGCGGCGAGTGACTTCGGCCTGTCTCCCAGGGGCTGAGCTGAGGAGCGAGCCGCACGGATGGCAGGGCGGCTGGAGGGAGCTGTATCCCGTAGCCGCGTGCATCTCACTGAGGGTCTTGGTCTTCTTACTGTGATTCAGGATGCCCCAGGATAGAATAGATTTAATTGACTTCTTAGATAAAATAGGTTATACTTATAATTGATTTAATTGAAACAAGACAAAGAATCTTGAACTCTTAATGAAGAATTCAGACTTTGCAAGGACTCATGGACAAAACCAAAGGGGAAGAGCTGAGGGAGGGAAGGTGGGAGGGGGCAAAGGAAAGAGGTGGGGGGGAGGCAGAGACAAATGTATTTAAAAAGTAAATAAATTTAAAAAAAAAGAATTCAGACTTCTTCACGGTAAAAAAAAAAAAGGTATAATATGGACTCGAGGAGATGGATTTAATGAGGATAGGAATTAGGTACTGCCTCTGGGGGATGCCTTGATCCCTAGGGGGTCACAGGATGCAGGGCGAAAGCTCCAGGCAGTGGGCAGCGGGAAGGCGCCCCGCTGGCCTGGGGAGGGGCGATCGCCACACGGTGCCCTCTCCCCTCTCCCCTCTCCCCTCTCCCCTCTCCCCTCTCCCCTCTCCCCTCTCCCCTCTCCCCTCTCCCCTCTCCCCTCTCCCCTCTCCCCTCTCCCCTCTCCCCTCTCCCCTCTCCCCGGGCCAAGACGTGAGTGTGACTGAGGATTAGCATCTTGAATAAGGAAAAACCTTGCAGCCCGGGCAGAGGGCAACAGGTTGACACCAAGAAGTGAAACGAGAGTGAGATGCGGAGCAAGGTGGAGACGCGGTCCTTCTCCCTGAGCACAGTGGAGCTGAATGCCTTTCCGAGCGGCTGGTCTTTCTGACCCGCCCCTGGGAGGAGGGTTCCAGGGGACTTGAGTTATTCTGTGGTTGATAGTTATCTGCTGTGTCACTTGCCACTCTCAAATCCCTTCTAACCTTGAATAGTCAATTCTTTTATTGTATTTTTTTCCATTACCATTTATCCACCTTATAGCCCCCTCTCCCCCACTAGTCAATATTTAAAAGGTGCTTTTCTCTTTGAGATTCGAAGACCAGGGGGCCTGTTTTGGCTCTGCTGGTTTTTTGGTGGGCCTGCCACCTGTTGAGGGTCTGTGTGTTGGCCCATGCAGAGGTCAATGGGTTGAATTAGCTGTTCTTGGGTGCAGAGGTCAGCATGGAGAAGCCATGGGCATAGTGCCCAAACCATTTACATGCCTCTCCTCCTCTGACGGAAATGTGGACCTGGCCGGCCACATTCAAGGCTGCCTGCCTGCCTGCCTGCCTGCCCTTGGCAAGGTGGCACAAGGTGGCAGTGCTGTTGACACTGAAGTGTCTGTTTGCATTGATGTACAAGGGTTTCCACGTTTGTTTTGCAAGAGAGGCTGCATTCTTTTTTTTTTTTTTTTAGTATTTTATTTATTTTTAGAGGGAGGGGAAGGGAAGGGGAAAGAGAGGGAGAGAAACATCTGTGTGTGGTTGCCTCTCACACACTCCCCGCTGGGGGCCTAGCCCGCACCCCAGGCATGTGCCCTGACTGGGAATTGAACCGGCGACCCTTTGGTTCACAGGCCGGCGTTCAATCCACTGAGCCACACCAGCCAGGGCTTCATTTCTAATCATGTTTTGTGTGTGTGTGGTAAAATAATGGCTGCTTTGAAAGCCCCAATTAGGAATTTCCTGGTTAGAGATTATTGAAAGCTGCTTTTTCATAGCTCTACGAGAGATTAAGGAGGATCATTGTAATCTGGGGCTATTGGACTGTTTTATTTAATGGGTATATTCGTCTGGCAAATTATACTGTGTGTGTACTTGTGTAGGAAAAACTATAGCCTTTCTGCTGTGTTTCTCTTTTACTCTCCTACCACTACCACGCTCGCAACACCTCTGACGGCAGGTGTGTGCTGTCACAGTTCAGTGGCACCAGCTGGGTGTCTACAGTGCAAGTCAGTTCTGATAGTAACAGGGAGTTAATTCAGTCCCACAAGACCGCCCTCCTTCAGAGGGCAACCACACGGAGTGGGTCCCCAGGTTACCCACAGCTCCTGTCCGACTCCTGTCCAACTCAGCTACAAGTCAGAGGCTCCTTGGATTCCGTCATTTCTTAGAGCAGTTCATGGAACTCAGGGAAACCCTTATATTTAGCAGTTTTTTAAAAGATATGCTAAAGGGTACTCGCAAACAGCCAGGGCAAAGTCTGGGGGAATCCTGAGCACAGGAGCTTCTGTCCCCCTGGAGCTGGGGTGTGTGGCTGTGTTTACTCACCTGGAAGCTCTGCGAACCCCCTACTGGTGGGATTCCGAGGAGCCCCTCACGTGGGCCTGGTGGATGAGGCACCTACTTCCAGACCCTCTGGCCTCTGGGGAGAAGTGGGGGCGGGGCTGGAACTCCCAAGCTTATAATCAGGCCTTGGTCTCTCTGGGGACCAGCCCAACCAGGGGCCACCCCGGGTCACCTCCTCAGAACCAGAGATGCGCCTCGTGCCCTTGTCACTCAGGAAGTCACAAGGGCTGTAGGAGCAGAGACCAATATGGATTTATTATTTCACAGTATTCTCGGGAAATGGGCCCTCTCATGGTTAAGCCTTCCTTAGTCTAGTGTCCTCTCCTAGGAGAGGCCCCGGCCCTGTGAGCCCAGCACCCAGCTCTTGTCCTTTGTTGTACTTTGCTTATTTCTGTCCTGCATTTAGTGCACTTGTTTTGTTTGCTACTCATCTTCCCCATTAGGAAAGTCCCTTGAAGGCAGGACCCTGGTCCCTTAAGTTCACAACTGTATTCCTAAAAGCAATGCAGTGGCGGCAGGGAAGTGCTCAATAAGTAGTTGTTGAATGAATCAATTTTGGGTGAAAACTTACCTATTTAATGGAAAACTACAGGAAAGCTGCCAGCTGTTGATAAGGAGATTGGTTCCTGTACATATTTAAACTTTCACACTAGAGGAGATGCCACTGATCACAAATTCTTGTTCTTTGTAGAAACATACATTTCCCAGCATTTTAATGGGATGCAGTTTTCTGATGAAAACTATCAACACGCAGATCTTACCTATAATTCTCATGGGGGTTTATGGTTAAGCAGGTGCAGGCTTCGACTCGCAGTTTCTCCAGGAACCCTGTGGGTGCTTTGAGCGTGTGATTTGGGGTTTTGAGCCCGACCTTCCTGGCCAACGTGCTGTGAAGCCATGGGCTAAGATCCTCTGCTTCTCTGAGCCTCCTTTTCATACCGGAAAATGGAAAAAAATAACACGAGTCAGCGATTCATTTGTTCAGGCATTTGGCAAATATTACTTCATGTCTGGCTGCACTGGACTCTGTGGGAGATACAAAAAAAATAAAAGTAACACATAGCCCTTGCCTTCAAGGAGGTGAATTTAGTTGGAGAGACAAGGCATGCCCAAGAAAAGGCCGGCTAAGAAAGGGCGGCATGGGGCCGAGGGCAGGCCTCCTAGCTCTCCTGGCTAACGGGACAGCGGGCTGACGCCCGCAGCTCAGGAAGCAGCCGGCAGTCCCACGCGGTGGTTTCGCAACACGACGGCTTCATGTTTACCAAGCAGTTCTGAGGGAAAGGGTGAAAAATAGTGTCGGTCCTTTAGCAACTCAGAGAACCAACAGGTTTCCATGGGCTTTGACTAAGTTTCATGTTGGAAGTTCTTCCGTTTTCAGGCAACTCTGAGCCAGCGCAATGGCAGCAGAGGTCAACAGTGCTTCCAAGGGTGCTGACCTGTGGTCCTCGCATGATAAAATGCTGGCGCAGCCCCTAAAAGACAATGACGTTGAGGTGAGATATGGGGGGTCTTCATGGGTGTTCTTAAATTGGAGCCTTTTATTGATTCTAGCTGTAATCATACAAATACTTTATTCAGAATAGCCTTGCACTCGGTGTAGGAGTGCCAGAGTTAGAGGCAGCAGCCGACACAGCGCTAAAAGCCCTTCCAGGGTAAACTTAAGTGCCCTTGAGTTTCTGCAGAGTGCAGAGCGCTGTGCTGGCGCTCTGGCAACGGCGGCGGGGCGGCGGCGGGGGGGGGGAGGTCACCGAATTTGACCCTTTTGACACAGTTCAGAGGAGTACCTTTAGACACCGAGGAGCACCTTTATTAATGTATTTTTATAGCAGCTTTATACATGAGATATCACTCAATTACCATACAAATCATCTATTTAAAGTGTTTCTTTTTTTAGTGTTTTCGCAGTCAATTCTAAAACACTTTTGCCCGCCCACAAAGAAACCTCGAACCCATTAGCAGTTACATGACCAGACTTCCAGGCCCTAGACAACCACTGGTCTCCTTTCTGTCTTTATTTTAAGGAAGAGAAGCGAGGAGTAAGGTTCAGGGAGGAAAAACTTGGTGAAATGTAGAAATAAAGATAACACGATGGTACACAATTAAAAGTTAAGTGAGATACTTATTTTAAGTACCCTCTGAGTTTGACCCTGTGGGCAATGGTCAGCTGCTGCGGGCAAAACGGCTCTGCCACCGTGGCCCGTCCCTTTGCTAGGTTATCGTTGTGGTCAGAGCAAATCGCTGAACTCAACGACCCAAATGTTCAGTGTCTCTTTTTTTTCTCATCAGGTGTACAACATCATTAAGAAGGAGAGCAACCGGCAGAGGGTCGGGTTAGAGCTGATCGCCTCCGAGAATTTCGCCAGCAGAGCCGTTCTGGAGGCCCTTGGCTCTTGCTTAAATAACAAGTACTCTGAGGGGTACCCAGGCCAGAGGTACGTGAATGTTGTCAAAGGCCCGCTTCTGACTTAGTGGTGCGAGGTCCTGAATCAGGATAGGATCGAAACCGCGCGAGGACTCCTGTTCCCCTTCTGCTTGGACGTTACTTTTTTCCGATGCCCAGCATGTGATAGCACTGGTGCTCGAGGAGCAGCTGGACTCAGGTCACCTTGACAGTCCCTCGGGGGTGTTCTAGAATGACAGGCCAGTCCATAGCGGAGCACGGAGCTGCTGGATAGTCGTCCAGCCTTGGGAGGAGGGTCAGTAGGTACTCAGAGTGACGTTTCGGAGGGTGGTTGTTGCTGTCCCAGGATCTGTTTCAGGAGTGACTCAAGTGGAACTGAATCTGCTGTACTAGATACCACTTCTGCATTATAAATGTTGGCTTTCCAAATGCAGCGATTTCAGTCCACTCTTCCCCCTGAAAACCATGAGGCAGTGTATTCTTTTTTACAGTCATCATCCGTCAGAGGCGATGACTATAGAATCGATGCATGGTTTTTGCAAACATCTGCATTTGTGTCCTGAAGGACGCAGAGAGGGAAGGGTCACCCTCGGAGCTGAACTGGCATTCTGTCCTGGGGTACTCTAAAGTGCTCTGTAGAAGGGCCAGAAACCCAACTGACACTTGGACAGCTCACCTCTCTGGTGCCGGGAATCACTAACTTCCGCATCGTGCTCGAAGAGCTCAGGGGGCCTTTCCACAGTTACCGTCTCCTTTGACCCTCCTGGCAGCGCAGTAGGAAGAGTGGTGCTGCGTCCCTGTGTTAAAGAGGGGAAAGCTAGGACTCGGTCAAGTTCAGTGACCTTTCGGGTTTGTGCACGGGGAACAGAGCGGGGACTCGAATCCAGATGTTTTCAGACTGCGGTACAGTCAAAGCTACCTGGTCTTTGTGCCTGGTTTCTGGTGCCCGAGCTCCTAGAACTCTTGGAATCTGTGGTGATGGGAGTGTCTTTTATCATCATGGCGAGCACACCTGAGTTTATGTGACAGGGGTGGCTCTGGGGGAAGTCTCAGGGAGAGACCTCAACACGGCAGTCCTCAGCTTTTCCAGGTGTGTCCTCTCAGGGTTGTGGTCTCCATGCACTGGTGGCTCCAGGGCAGGGGGTCTTCCCACGTGACCGGCTCTGTGCCGGGGAAGGACAGGCCACCCTGGGGCAAGGTCCAGCACCAGTTTTGCCGATTGCCAGGCACCCAGGGCCTTCTGCCTTGGGACCGTCTGTGTCTGGCTGTAAATTGCGCAGCCACTTTGCATAGCTATCTGTCTCAGTTTCCCCATTCTAGTTGCCAAAGAATTTTCTTAGCTCTTTATTAACTAGCCTCATCGTGAGTAAAATCCTTTCGTTCCCTCTTTTCCTTATTGTGGTAAAATAAGCATAATAGAAGATTTGCCCCTTTTAAACGGCCAGCTGAGTGGCATTAAGCACGTTCAGAGCGCGGGGCAACCATCACCCCCTCCAGCTCCGGGGCTGTTTCCCTTGCTGTGCGCAGACCTCTGTCCCCCTCGAACGGTCACTCCTGCCAGCAGCACAGGGAAAGGGGCTCCGCTTCACCAGTCATTAGGGAAATGCCAATCAAAACCGCAGTGAGGCTATTGTTACCTCGCACCCATTAGGATGGCTACTATCAAAAACAAAACGAGTGCTGGTGAGAATGGACAGGAATTGTAACCCTTGTGCACTGTCGGTAGAAATGTAAAATGTGCAGGTCACTGTAGAAAACAACATGGAGGTCCCTTAAAAATTAAAAATAAAATTTCCATATAACCCAGCAATTCCACTTCTGGGTATATATTCAATAGAATTGGAAGCAGGACCTCAGACAGACATTTGCACACCCAGGTCCACAGCAGCATCATTCACAACAGCTGACAGATGGAGCAGCCCGGGTGTCCACTGATGGGCAAGTGTGTGGGCGGATGTGGTGTATCCGTGCAGCGGAATGTGCTTCAAACTTAAAAAAAGATGGGAATCGTCACAGGCTGCAAGGGTGAATCTTAAGGACATTATGGTAAACGAAATAAACCGGGCCCTAAAAGACAAATACGGTATGATTCCACTTACATGTGGTACTTAGGCAGACTCACAGAAACGGAAAGTAGAATGGTGGTCACTGGAGGCTGGGGGAGGGAGAGGTGGGGAGTTGTCACTCGGTGGGTTAGGGTTTCAGTTTTGCAAGATGGAAAAATTTGGTCTGTGGCACAGCGTGCATGTACTTATCAATGTGAGGTACTTAACCCTACTTACTAAGCTGTATGCTTAAAAATGGTTACGGTGGAGCCCTGGCAGGTGCAGCTCAGTTGGATGGAGCATCATCCCCATAACCAAAAGGTTGCGGGTTCGATTCCCAGTCAGGGCACATTCCTAGGTTTCAGTTTCTATCTCTGATCCAGGTGAGTACGAGCCATGTATGGGAGGCAACCAACTGATACTTCTCTCACATTGATGTTTTTCTCTCTGTCCCTTCCTCCCTCTCTAAAAGCAATGAAAACAGAAAACCTCTTGAGAGGATAAAAAAATTAGTTGAGCTGGTAAATTTTCTGTCATGTTTTTACTATAATAAAAAAATGTATATACATTTAATTTAAAATTTTTAAAGCGTTTTGGGACCTCAAGGCATAAGTGTTAAAAAATTTCTTTTGGGTTGAGTTATTAGGATGTGTACAGATAAAAACCATAAATATTTGATAAATTTTGATATGTAGTTATTAAACGAAAAGTAAATTTTATTAGAAATGAAAAAAAACCCCAAAACCCAACAGCTGTCTCCACCCGTCCCTGCACCCGGCGCCCGGTGAACCACCAGTCCGCATTCTGTCTCTGTGAACGTGACCGTTCTTGGTACCTCAGGTGAGGGGATCATGCCGTCGTCACTGGCGTACTCACTTGGCATAACGCGAGCGCGTGTTTCGCCCCTGTAGCTTGTGTCAGCGTTTCCTTATAGATGAGGAGACCCGTGAGCAGCGTCGCAGCGCCTGGCGCCCACGGAGGGCGAGCCGTGTGCAGCCTGCACCGAGTCCCCCTTTGTTCTCCTGCCCCAGCCTGTGCTGAGCACAGAGGTCCCTTGCAGAGCAGGCCTAAGTCCCCGCTTTTCTCACGCAGGTATTACGGTGGCACTGAGTTTGTTGATGAGCTGGAGACCCTCTGTCAGAAGCGAGCGCTGCAGGTCTATGGGCTGGACCCCCAGTGCTGGGGAGTCAACGTCCAGCCCTACTCCGGTAATTAGCAGGGCCTGCCGCGACTGGGGCCGGTCTCCTGGGGCTGATGTGCCTGGAGAGGGGTCCTAAGAGGACTGCCCCTAAACGGAAGTTACAAATAGGTGCAGCCCCCTTGGGTGTGTGTGGCTTTCTCCATGTCCCTGGTCCCTGGCCTCAGCCCTCAGAGATAGTGCCCTGTCCCTGACATCCCCCTTCCCTTCCTCTCAAGGGGTCGGTGCAGGGGGACCTCGGGGTGCGAGGACTGCATGATTTTACCTGTCCGAGGTCCGAGCGCTCCATGCTTTGAAAGGCCAAAACTCAGAGTTTGGTGTAAGAAGAGGTTTATTGATCCGGAAGGTGCCAACGGACAAGAAAAGATGGGACTCAAATCCATCTGCGAAAGTACAGCTCAGGTTCTGTTATGTGAGGGGAAGGGGAAATGGCAAGGGCTGTTTTTGTAAAAACTCCCGCCCCAAGCGGCTTCCTCTCCGGATTAGCATGCTTGGAGCGAGCTGTCAGCCCGAAGGTCTTGGAGCGACAGGACTGGAACAAGAGGGAATCAGAGCGAGGCATTTCACTGTTACTTAACGGTGGACGTCTGTTGCGGCCACTTCTGGTTGATGACCTAGTGCCAAGCTTGGGGTCCTGCTGGCTGCCTCATGGGCAGAAGCAATGGTGTCTCCTCTGGTCTTCCTGGCCCAGGGTCCCCGGCCAACTTTGCTGTGTACACCGCCCTGGTGGAACCCCATGGGCGCATCATGGGCCTGGACCTGCCCGATGGAGGCCACCTGACCCATGGGTTCATGACAGATAAGAAGAAAATCTCTGCTACATCCATCTTTTTTGAATCTATGCCCTATAAGGTAAGAGCGCCTCTGCATGGCTCTGTGGCCAGCTTCTCAGAAGGCCTCCAGTCTGTGTGTTTGGCTGCGCCAGTTTAAATAAGTTCTGTTCACCCGGCACCACAGAAAGTCTCCACCTTCCACCATTTGTCATTTTCCTGCCCCGGGGTCTCCTCCAACATACAGGGCAAGCTGGGGACAGTTGGGGGGAATGCAAGGGGCTGAGCTGGGGCACAGGGAGCCCGGTGGGGAGGCAACGGCACAGGAAGTCCCAGCCACGGCAGGGGTCCTGACTGCTCCAGAGCTGGGGGGCAGTGACAGCTGGGGGTGACTATTCGGTCCACCATGCCTGGACCCCTAGTGACGGCAGCTGCCTCCCTAGCTCCAGCTCTGGAACCAGCAGCGCCACCGTCAGTGCCTAGTCCCCCTCCTTAGCCCTGACAGAGCCAGGCCATGGGCCCATGAGGAGACTGACACGTGTTTATGTGGGAACCCTTGTCATTTATAAACAATTTGGTGTAAAAAAAAAAAAATGCTTGTAAGATTCATGGGCTCATGAAGGGCATAGTGACTTACCTATAAAGATAGTTAAAGAGATGGGTGGGAAAGAGGTGACTTGCAGACTGGTCCGTGGTACACTCTGTGGACAGGCTGGTTCTTTCTCATGGCCAGAGACCGTGCCCCTCACAGGGTGTGTTGGTGGTAGACTGTCCCTGGGTAGTTTCATGTGTCCCTCCATGAGCAAAGGCAGCCATGTGTTACTACGCTTGGTTGAGTGGCAGACACATAATTTTATCCTTCTAAGAAAATCAAGCCATTGCTCGCTCTCGGCATCCTGTAGTCATTGTTGCACATCCTTGACTGTTTACTGCTTTTATCGTTTGCCTTTCTCTCAGTTCCAGTATTTGCACAGACGCTTGTTTGCAAGTGACAGTTCGTTTCCTTTCACGGAAGGCCTTGGCGTTTCGGTCGCAGGCACTGCACCTGCCAGTGCTGACCTTGAAGATGGATTTTGAAATGTGGCAGCAGGAACACAGTGCTCTGTCTTTGCACTTAGAACACAAAAGCCGATTCCTACAGTTTCTCTGACTGCGAAAAGCGTGTTGGCGGGTGATCGCCGACTGGCTTTCCCTCCTCAGACAGGGCCTTTGGGGAACCTTATGCTCTTTGGCCCAGCGTCTGCTGTTACTGAAAAGTTTTCCTGGCATTAGCAAGGCCGGGGCAGCACCCCAGTTTCCCCCGCAGCCACCCCCGTCTTCGACATGCGCTGTGCAGGCTGCAGCCCGGGGGGGGGGGGGGCGCAGCGGGGAGCCCCACCCAGTGCTGGGCCAGTGGGGGCGTGGAGTGGCTGGGACTGGGCCCCCGGCCCGCTCGGCCCGCTCACTCGCTGGAGGGGCTCCTGTGGACACCAGCCTGGGTGGCCAGGCAGCAGGACACAAGCCCGCAGCTCCCCCCGCAGCCCTCCTCTGCCCCTGAGGCTGCCTCTCTGGCCGCCGTGGGGCTGATTCCACCCTCCGGGCGGCCGCCGAGCACAGGGCCGTGCATCCCGTCTCCCTGTGGGGAAACGTGTACCTCCTGTCACTTGCCCTCCTCCCCTGTGACTGAGGGACCCTCCTTTCTTCCTGTCCATGGCCTCTGCCCCACTTTGCCCCGGGACAGCTTGTTAAAATGCCTGTGAATTCTTCCAAGAGCCATTTTATTGTTGAAATTTCAAGATTAAAAAAAAAAACTTAAAAATAATCTCACAAGTTTCCAAAACAAAATGTGGAGGGAGAGCGTATCAACAGATTTGGGGGTAATTATGTATTTAAAAACTTTTTTAGAATGATGTCCATTTTTTTTTTGCTGTGGATCAGCCGTTGATTTTTCATCAAGGTAATAGTTTGTCTGTTGAGTTTGTGCGACTGAGAAAGAATCAGCTACACCCTTAAAACACGAAACAAAACCACAAATGGTCTTTCAGCCTGCCTTCCCACCTGACTGTTTGGTTCCCATAACCTTGCACACAAGCCTTCTGTAACTGCGTTGAACTGAAAGTGCTTCGTTAATTTGGAAAGGGTCGCCCCCTCCCCGCGATCCTTCCCTCCACGGGCGGGGGCTTCAGCCCTGAAGTTTCTCACCGCCTCCTCTGTAGAGGCCTCCCATGCCGCACGCCGCTCAGGCTTTCCTGCATTGACCCCCTGCGGTTGCTTGTACTTTCCCTCAGCATAAATGCCTTAATATAACTTTAATAAGCGGAACTTACTAAGAAATGTGTTGCCAAAAAAGTGGTTTTACCTCTCCCGAGTCAGTGGGTCCGCAGTCCCTGCGGAGCGGGCGTCTGTGCCTGGCTGAGGTCGGGGTGCAGGTGCTGTTCGGTGCAGGGCGCGCGTCCGGCCGGCCTCGCGCCTCCTGAGGGAAGGCCGCGCTCTCCCTGGAGTCCCCGCCGGCGGCGAGCGAGCGTGGTGGCCGTCCGCCACGGCGGGCTCTCTTCCGGGCGCTCTGCTTCGGTCAGCCTGCCCTTTCACAAGCACACACAGCCTTAACCGCTGTAACAGTTTTTAAGTGTTTTTAAATTTCTCTCAGTAATGTTTTGTGTAGAGGTCTTGTACATCTTTTGTTAGTTTATGGCTTTTGAAACTAATGATATAATTATTAAAATTTCTTTCTCTCTTTTTTGCTGCTCATATGTATGGATATAATTGATTTTTTGTTTTTGACCCTATATCCAGTGACCTCACTAAATTCAGTGACTAATTCTAATAGCTCCCCTCTAGAGTCTTGGATTTTCCTAGGTACACAGGCGTGGTGTCTGTCAGTGATGTCCGCTTTTGTATGTTTTCTAATCCTCATGCCTTTCTTTCCTTTTCTGATTGTACTGCGACTGCAAGCGCTGTTGGCGAGCACGCCGTCTCGTCCCTGAAGGCAGCCGAGTCTTAGCGCCTGCGGGGGCGGATGAAGCTTCCCTGTCTGGCCCTCCTGTTTCATTCTGCGGTGGCTTTTTGGTTCCTTCTCATCCCAGCAGAGCCCTGGGGGCAGGGGCTCGCTTTCCCTCAGGGGCCCTTCGAGGCACCGTGGGTCTGAGAGCGAGACTCGGTCATCTACCCTACTGTGCGGGCCACGCGCTCTGGGACCCCGCCTCACCCTCAAGCCCTCACCTGGGACATCTTTGCTGTTTTCATGGCGAAGAAGAGCAAACAGCTTTGGGCACATGGAAGACGTCCTCTTGTGCTTGACACCGGTGCAGCCTCAGGTGGGAGGGCAGGCTCGGGGGGCAGCCTGAGCCTGCTTGTCCATGGCATTCCACAGGTGAACCCAGACACTGGCTACATCGACTATGACCAGCTGGAGGAGAACGCCCGCCTCTTCCACCCGAAGCTGATCATTGCAGGTGATGAACGGGGCAGAAAGCAGCTGACTTAGTCATCAGTCCCAGGCTTCCTACGAAGCGAAGACGTGACGATGTTCCCCACCTTCTCCTTGCTCACTGCTAGTTTCTGCCTTGGAGAGCTGAACTTCCTGGGTCTAAGTATATTCCTTTCTTTCAGGGCAGATGTTTGTTTTGCCATCATTAAGTACTAGGTGGAATAAGATCTGAGGCTGTTCTCAGAGAAGCATCTAGAAACGTCCATTCTTGACTAATTGGGGGTGTAATAATAGTTGGGGGCCATCCTGACCACCATGACATTGAAGAGGCAGAGATCAGAGTGGTTGCCTTTAGTACAAAGATGTTTTTCAAGAATATTCTTCATTTCTTTTCTCAGATTTTAGGGGGAGGAACCTCCAAGCTTTCAAATACATATGTCCAGAGGTCACCTTGCAGCTGACTCTTGGGTGGCCGTGGACATCTCTGACAACACTGCCACCTTTGCCATCTTAGGAACCAGCTGCTACTCCCGAAACCTGGACTATGCTCGCTTGCGGAAGATTGCCGATGACAACGGGGCCTATCTCATGGCTGACATGGCGCACATCAGCGGGCTGGTGGCAGCTGGCGTGGTGCCCTCCCCGTTCGAGCACTGCCACGTGGTGTCCACCACCACCCACAAAACCCTGAGAGGCTGCCGAGCCGGCATGATCTTCTACAGGCGAGGTGTGCTTCTGAGCATGGGGTGCTGGCGTTTGCCTTTCTCTGGGTGTTCACATCTGGTTTGGGAAGCTGGGGGAGACTCTGACCTGGGATCCCTTGAAGATAGTAGGATCCCTGAAAGCTACTTCGGAGGAGACAATGACAGGCTTTATAGAAGGGATCTAGAAAGAAGCTCTGAGCAGCTCGCCGGGTCCTGGGAAGAGGAGGAAGGGTGTTGTGCTGGGCGCCAGCATTCTTTGGCTCAGATAATCCTCCTGAGGCAGGTGCCGGAGTGAAAGGAAGGCTGTGCCTGGCCATCAGGCTACCAGGAGACCTCCCACTACAGCATTACTTTGGTGAACTTACTGTAGTCCACCATGTTTCTCATAGAGAGAGACTCACACTAACCAAAACCATAAGACATGGATGTATAAATCTCAGTACGAGTTTTATCATCTTAGTAAAGAATTTCTCTTTGCAGTAATGGAATGCTTACAACCCACAGTGTATAGGTGCTCCCACCTTTTGGGGATTCCCACACCTGAGAAAGCCAGAGAGGTGATCAGGCCATTGTGCAGCCCAGGGCTGGCCCTGGCGGGTGAAGCTGGCATCAGCAGCGAAACCAGCCTTCTGGAGACTGGCTTTCTCTTTACCCCGAGGCAGGGGTTCTTCGCCCAAGCCCCTAGACACACCCATGTACCCACTGGCAGCCTCTAAACTCTGAGGGCGTTTAGTTGCGTTGCGCTTTCTGCAGCAGGCAGCCGCTCCCGCCCGCCTGGGAGGCGCTGTTTTTCTCCCCGGGTGTTGGGATTTGTTTGACCCAGCCAGCGGGAGCAGACCTTGGCTGTGCCCCGTACTCACTGTGAGCTTGAGCTCGTTGTGCAACCTCATTGTGCCTCATTTCCTCACCTCTGGAGTAGGGATCATCATAATAGTACCAGTCCCTTTGGACCACTGTTGTGAGGGTTAAATGAGTCAATTGAGGTAAAGTGCTTAGAGCGGTTCTGGCTCACAGAAGCTCTATAGAGACATTAGTAGCTGCTGTTGCTAATTATTAACTCTTACTCTGAAGGGAACCTTATTCCCTGTATCTACCCCCATGAGTCTTGTCTCCCTCAAAGAAGTCATCTTAGAAGGCTACCCTTTGACACTTCTTTGAAGAAATATGCCCAAGGAGTGTTCTTTGCTACAGTCTCTTTGGGGGGAAATTTCCATGCTCTCGTTCCACCTGTGAAACGGTGGCCCGCCCGCACCTGGAAGCGGCCCCCTCTGCCTGGCAGCTTTCTGTCCAGGGCTCGCCTCCGGGAGGAGGGGCCAGGCCTGTGCTGGGCGCTCCCCTGGACAGTCTGGGTTTGAGTCCAGGTGGGGAGGAAACGGGGGACAGACAGCCTGTCTGCCCTGGCCATTCTGATGTTTTTCTTCATCCAGGAGTGCGCAGCGTGGATCCCAAAACCGGCAAAGAGATCCTGTACAACCTGGAGTCGCTCATCAACGCTGCTGTGTTCCCAGGCCTGCAGGGAGGTCCCCACAACCACGCCATTGCTGGTAAAACATCACCGAACCCACCCCGAGCCCTCAGAGGGTGTATCTTCACCCTGGCAGGCCCTGTGCAGTCAGCCTGAGGGTTCTCCGCTTTCGTTCATCTCGCGGCCCCTCACTCCCCTCTCACCTGTTCACCAGCTTTTGTGCCAGGACTTCCACGCTGGGGAGCAACTAGAGGAGTGTCTGTCTAGGAGATGCTAACGAGGGCGACCAGGGAAACTGGCGATTGGTGTAAGGCAGGGACGTGTGTGGCTGCCCCTTGGCAAAACCGAGAGGCCGGCCTGTTTTATGGATAGCCCTCTTTAAGAAATAACAGGGAAGGAATTTGGCAACTGGAAGAAGGCATAGCTAAGGGAGTGTGATGAGCAAGGACAAAATGCCTCTCCCCTGACACCCTGTCCTCCTGAGGGGAAGAGGCACCTGGGTCTGACCCCAGCACCCGGGACTGCGGGGCCGTGCCAGCAGCCCCTGGGTCTGACTCCGCGACCCCCCAGCAGGCAGGCATTGACGCGTTCCTTCTCTCTACAAGTGGCTTAGGGAATCTGGGATGATCTCCGGAGTCATTCCACTGTCTTCTTTGGAACAAAGCAGTTGCCAGAAGAGCCCAGGATAAAGGTGGAAATTCTCCATCTAGGGAAGCACTAATATTTCCAAAGAGGGGAGAGGAGGACCCACTGAATGAGGAACTTCGGCGCCAGTGTCAGCCACCTGGGTGTTTTCATACTCCCCTTTCCTACCTGCGAGCTCAGCACCTGCAGTTCCTTCATCCCTCAGATGGTGGCATTGCCCAGCCTCCGGCTACTGTAGGCCTTGTCCAGTCATTGCCACCCACGCACACTGATTGGAGGCCTCTGTGGTGGGTCTCGAGCACACACATTTTGCACTCTCCGCCGTTTTCTGTGCCCATAAGCGTCCCTCAGGACAGAACGCAAGGTACCACAGAAGTCAGGACGTGCAGGGTAGACCAGGCCTCACCTCTCACCTGGACTCTGAACTGAAAGACCTGCATAACTTGGCATGAAAGCATTAGCTTTTAGGGCAGCTAAGCACTCGTTTACACATGTCAAGCTTAAAAAGGACTGTAAAATATACCTTGCTTAAGAGCAGCTTTCCTGTGGTAATTTTATTTTTTATTTTTTTAAAGTATATTTTATTAATCATGCTATTACAGTTGTCCCATTTTTTTCTCCCCTCTATTCCCCTCCGCCCTGCACCGTGTCCCCACCAGCACCCCCAGGCCCCTCCTCAGTTCACGTCCATGGGTCCCACATAAAAGTTCTTTGACTTCTCCATTTCCTATACTATTCTTAACCTCCCCCTGTCTATTGTGTACCTACTATTTATGCTGCTTATTCCCTGTGCCTTTTCCCCCATTCTCCCCCCTCCTCCTCCCCTCTGATCACCCTCCATGTGACCTCCATTTCTGTGGTTCTCTTCCTGTTCTAGTTGTTTGCTTAGTTTGGTTTTTTGGAGTTTTTTTAGGTTCAGTAGATGATAGTTGTAAGTTTGTTCAGTTTTTTATCTTTTTCTTAGATAAGTCCCTTTAACATTTCATATATTAAGGGCATGGTGATGGTGAACTCCTTGAACTTGACCTTATCTGGGAAGCACCCTATCTGCCCTTCCATTCTAAATGACAGCTTCGCTGGATAGCGTAATCTTGGTTATAGGTCCTTGCCTTTCATGATTCTGAATACTTCTTTCCAGCCCCTTCCTGCCTGCAAGGTTTCTTTTGAGAAATCAGCTGATAGTCTCACGGGAACGCCTTTGTAGGGAACTGTCTCCCCTTGCTGTTTTTAGGATTCTGTCCTTATCTGTAATCTTGGGGAATGTAATTAGCATATGCCTTGGTATGTTCTTCCATGGGTCCAACTTCTTTGGGACTCTCTGAGCTTCCTGGATCTCCTGGAAGTCCATTTCCTTGGCCAGATTGGGGGAGTTCTCCTTCATTATTTTTTCCAATAAGTTTTCAATTTCCTGCTCTTCCCCTTCTCCTTCTGGCACCCCTATGATTCGGGTGTTGGGGCATTTAAAGTTCTCAGAGGCTCCTAACCCTCTCCTCATTTTTTTGAATTCTTGTTTCTTCATTCTGTTCTGGTCGAATGTTTATTTTTTCCTTCTCCAAATCGTTGATTTGAGTCCCAGTTTCCTTCCCTTTACTGTTGGTTCCCTGTATATTTTTCTTTATTTCACTTTGCATAGTCTTCTTTTTTTCCTCCATTTTGCGACCATACTCGGCTATTTCTGTGAGCATCCAGGTTACCAGTGTTTTGAACTGTTCATCTGACAGGTTGGCTATCTCGTCATCGCTTAGTTCTCTCTTTGGAGCTTTGACCTGTTCTTTCATTCGGGACATATTTCTTTGTCTCAGTGTTCCTGTAATGTTGGAAGGGGCGGAGCCTTAGGTTTTCTCCAGGGCGGGGCAACCCAGATCCTGCATTGTGGCTCTGTGTGTGGGGGAGGGGTCCGAGAGGAGACAATGCCACTTGCTCTGCTCTTGGCCAGTTTTCAGGCACTTTCCCCGCTATCCTCAAGTAGATTGGGCCCTTCTGGTGCTGATTCCCAGGTGAGTAGGTTTGTGTATGTTTTAGGAACCTGTGGGTCTCTCCAGCGGACTCCCCTGTGAGGCTGGGAGTTTCTCCCACCACTGCAATCCCCACAGGTTTTTCCTCCAGAGGTTTTGAGGCTTTCTTTTCCTGCACTGGAACCCTGGGTTGCGGGGTCTGTCTCGCTCCACAGCTGTTCCTCCCAGTTTATCCACACACAAATGTGGGACCACCCGGTTGGTCTTCCAGCTGCTACCTTGCCACATATCCTCTCTGCCCCAGTTGCCTGTCTCCACCCCACCTACCGGTCTGGATGAATGTTTCTTCTTTAACTCCTTGGTTGTCAGACTTCCATACAGTTTGATTTTCTGGCAGTTCTGGTTGTTTTTTGTTTTTAAATTTGTTGTCCTTCTTTTGGTTGTGTGAGGAGGCAAAGTGTGTTTACCTACGCTTCCATCTCGGCTGGAAGTCCTATGGTAATTTTATTAGCACAACACTTCCATGCCTGGGAGAAAGCCTACCTCAAAAGCACCTCCTCCAACAGAAGAGGTCTGGAGGTTTAGACAGGTAATTGTAGAGTTAGAAATATATGTCATGCTCAGTGTGTTGAGCACCGGTCTGTGAACTGAAAGGTCTGCAGTTCAGTCCCCAGTCAGGGCATATGTCTGGGTTGCAGGCCAGGTCCCCAGCGGGGGAAGTGCGAGAGGCAACCGATCAATGTTTCTCTCCCTCTTTTTCCCCTCTCTGTAAAAGTAAGTAAATAAAATCTTTAAAATATGTGTGTGTGTGTGTGTGTGTGTGTCATTGTTGCGGTGGGGAGGGGTGAATGTAATCCGCGCCTTTCCGTGACACTGAAGAACAAGGAAGCCTGAGTGGAAATAAGGTGGTTTTTGTTTGTCAGTCTGTCTTTTGATCCCACCCTTCCTAAGTGACCCATTGTCTCTCCCTGCCAGGGGTTGCCGTGGCTCTGAAGCAAGCCCTGACTCCGGAGTTCAGACTTTATCAGCGCCAGGTGGTGGCCAACTGCAGGGTTCTGGCTGAGACTTTGATGGAGCTGGGCTACAAAGTAGTAACAGGTACCAACAGAAACTTGGGTGGCGCCCACGGACCCTAGGCTGTGACCCTGCTCCTCGTGGTTGCACACAGCCTCACACCGCGGCTCACCCAGCCAGTGTGTGGCTGCAGGCTGGTGGCCACGGCACTGCAGTCACAGGCAGGGTGTGAGGCAGGGCCACAACCAGAGGCGCAGGTGCTGAGCGAGATGGCCCTCCCGGGTGAGGGCCCTGCTCAGAGGCGCTGTCTGCCTCGGTCACTGCGGGCTCACGCAATTGGGATGGCACAGTTTTTCTGGCAGACAGTGTACTTTGTTATCTTTGCGCACAAGGCTGCCATGTATGCTAGCAGTAGGTGGTCCGGGGAGGTGGGTCCAAGAGAGCAGGTGCCTACTCTCTGCCTGGAGCCCTTTGCGGGGGTTACGGCCCCCAGTCTGAGGAGTGGGCTCCCCACCAAACCTTGTGGGTGGCAGAGCTGGGGCAAATGCCATCTTAGCAGTTCTGGGTAGCACCTCTTTTCTGTTTAGTTTTACTTCCTTTCTTTGCTTTCTCCTTCATCTTCCACGTCTCCCAGTAACAAAGCCCCAGGAGTCTCAGTCATCACAAAAAATTTAGGCCACACTCCCCTGGCTGCAGGCGGCTTTGGCAGCCCTGCTGCTCGGAGCCTCCCAGTGAGTCTCCGCCCTTCCTGAGCTCCGCGTCTGTGCTCCCGTCCCTTTACTCTGCTCTGAAGACTTGGTGCGGGCAACCGAAGCAGGTTGTGACCATGCTTGCAGCCAGCATTTCTGGTTACCGGCCTTGTGCCAGGCCCTGGCCAGGCACCATACACAGTACCCTACTTAAACCTCGCGACAGCCTTGTATATCGTTGGTCATATTTTATAGACGGGTGCCTAAGATTCCATAGTTTTGAGCAGCCTCGCTATAGCCACGCTGCTAGTAGGTGGGAAGCTGTGGGGACTTGGACTTAAGCTCTGAGCTGTGGGGTCCAGAGCTAAGCATTAACTTAGTTCACCTACATCTTGGAAGTCATTGCTGTTGCCCAAGTCAATGACTTGGTATTAGTGAGAGTTCAAAGTAAAAATACCCAGGTACTTGAAAGACTTCTGGGTGACCTTGGCCCAGTTCCAGAATGTTCTTGTGGTCTCATATCTTCACCTGCACCACTTCATTAGTATCACCCCCTGCAGGATTAGGGATAAAATACATGACTGGCTAGTAGCGCCTGGTACCTAATATGTGCTCATGAAGGTAGTGGTCACCCAGTGTTACTGTAAATGGAACCACTACCTGCTACTCTAGTGCTGCCTCAGAGGGAGCCTTGAGGATTGATTTCAGAGATGTCAAGTGATTTGTCAAAGAAAACAGAAGCCATAGATGGGGGATGCCTCTCCCCAGAGCCTTCAGGCCCTTCACCAGCACCCAGCGTGCTGTGGGCAGCGTGGTCGTTCTTCCCTTGGCCTCACAGCCCCCCTGCATCGGCAGGTACCCTGTTTACACTGCCCTGTCCTCTGTCAAACTCTTAGGTTCTAGAGCATCTTTTCTTTACAGGTGATTCAAGGTTTCCAGGACACATGGCGGGGTGCTCACCTTCCTGACCCCATCTGCTTTAGCCCCTTCCTCCCCAACCCTCATTTCTGAGAAAGAGACATTCCTTCGCTTGGCATGGAATTGACCGCCTGCATTCCTGTATGTCCAACTTGGTTTCCAGGTGGTTCTGACAACCATTTGATCCTCGTGGATCTCCGTTCCAAAGGCACAGATGGTGGCAGAGCTGAGAAGGTGCTAGAAGCCTGTTCTATTGCCTGCAACAAGAACACCTGCCCAGGTCAGAATCCTCTTTGGTTTTCTCTTCCACACCTCTCCTGTCTGCACTTAGGGGTAGCATTACAGCCAGTGATAATTGGCTCTGTGGAAAAGCATCAGCTGATCTGGGGGATAAGTACACCGTGCTGGACGGGAGCCAAGGTGTGGCTGCCTCCTGGACCTCTCTTTCCGACAGGCTGTAACCCTGTCAGGGACAGGGGATTGAGGGAGGCGGCTTTGGATGAGGGAGGCAGGGGCCACTGGAGAGCAGGCTGGACTTCTCCATGGGTTGCTCATAAGGTCCGGGTGTTGCAATCCAAACTCAGATGCCAGCCTTACTGTGAGGAGCAAAGGCCATGTACGATCAGAATGTGGTCACTGCCTGTGCCTTGGCTTCCACCTGTAGTGTGGAAGTCACTTGAGCTCTTCAATCCAGCCGCCATCTACAGGCCTTATCTTTTTGCCCAAGTGCCCCTTGGTAGTGCACAGTGGTCAGTGGTGAGTTTGGGTGCGACCCAAATATGGCACAGAGACTGTTTATGTTGAAGGTGACAAAAGCGCCCTGCGGCCCAGTGGGCTGCGACTGGGGACCCCAGCACTGACATCCCGAGGACTTCTGGAAAAAGATTTCAAAAAAGTAGCCCTCTTCATTCACAAAGGTAAGGATGTGGGTTTGGAAGTTTGCCACATCATATTCTGTGTATGGAGTCTTTGGACAGTTGAGACCCAGCCACTGAAGGGTATTTTTGTGTCAAGGCTGAGTGCTGGGGACAGGAGACAGCAGACAGCAGAAATCACTTAGCAGACCACCTGGTCTGAGACATTTATAAGTATGTCCTGCCCAAGGAAGGGCTCATACAGGAATCGTTCCTGGGGTGAATGTTGATACCTACGGCTCTCACCGCCCCCATATCGGGTACTTGGGTCTTGGGTGTGTCTCATAGTCCCAGAGGACTCATTTGTCTCTATCACACAGGGATAGAACTGACTCTCCAGATTCAGAGTGATGTTGGTGTCAAGGCCACCCTGAAGGAGTTCAAGGAGAAGCTGGCAGGGGATGAGAAGCACCTCAGGGCCATCAGAGCTCTCAGGGAGGAGGTGGAGAGCTTCGCGTCTCTCTTCCCTCTGCCCGGCCTGCTTGACTCTTAGAGAAGCCAGCAGGCTGCACCTGCCCCAGTGTAGGACCCTCAGGACTGCCCGAGGCACTTCCCTGAGGACACAGCGCCCTTCTCAGAAGAGAAGCACCACCCTACACAGGACCTGGTCGGCTTGCGTGTGCTGAGGGGTTTCTTTTAGGACTTTTCTCATGTTATCTTCCCAAATCAAAATCTGTTTAAGCCCTTGTTAGTAAGTCTGGAACAAATTATTAAGGAGTTTAAATCTGAACCTCACTACTTTCTTACAGCTCGATCTATAATTATTCTGGAAATGAAATATTATTTAGTCTTAATTCATTTAAACAGTAGGGTAGGTCAGAGCTATTGGAAAGATTCCAGTAATTTTACTCACCTGTCTCTTAGAGTTACTGGGTTTCCTCCGACTCGCTGCAGCAAATAAGAAACATCCAAGTTCATAATCTGTAAAAGCTGCTCATATTCTGTTACCCAGTGGGACACCACAGGGAAACTGAATTATGACCTTACAACTGAAGAGGGAAATTCTCCTGAAGCTTCTGCTATGTGCTTTCAGTCAGAATTCTAAGTTAAACGAGTCTATACAAGATGCCACCCGTATGTAGGTTTCTCTGTTAGCAACTCAGTATGCTGTGGAAATGGTCTTCACCGTCCCACCCTGGGGAGGCGGGAGGGCCTGGGGACCCTCCTCTCCTAGTGTGAGAATCAGCCGCAGGCTCTCCTGCCCTGTGTGAGAGGGCTCCCTCTGTAATCAGGAAGCCAAAACTGTCACCTTCCCAAAGAAACTTTATTTTTCATAAAGCTGAAATGCAAAACATAAATGACCATTTTTAATAAGCACAAATTTTTAACCACAGAATGTCTACAAGAATTATAGCTTTAAAAAATACAACCAATTTTTGTATTTCAAAAATAACTCAAATAAATTAATTTCTTAAAAAGTACAATTCTCATACTATTTGTTTGGCATTTACTCTTGGTGCAGCCATACCTACGAGCTGCTGTCACACACGCCCATCATATTCTTGCCCTCGCCACTGTGACGGCTGCAGCTCACGTGGTGGTCAGGTTCATATTCACAAACATGGACAAACATGCAGTAATAAAATACTTCTCAAAAAAATAACAAGATTTCCTCACAGACTATGCTTTTCACTGCGACCTTAAAGGCAGCGTTTCTCTCAGCCCGACTTGTGTAACCAGCCAGCCAGCCAGCCAGCGTCGGGCAGCCAGTGGGTGAGGAGCCCTGTGGTCCCGCCTGGAAGGCACCTGTGGCCAAGGGTCCAGTATGTTGGCACCTACTCCAGCCCAGTGGGGACAGCTGCTGCAATCTCGGGGGGGTGCATGACACAACAGTGCCCAAGTCTATGCCTCCATTTGGGACCTGTGACCCTGCTAAAACAGTCCTATCTTCAAGGGTTTGACTCCCCCAGATGGAGACGAAAGGTCATCTCCAAGACCCCCCGTGTAGCCTCCATGTTGGAGCTGAACAGTCACTCCCAGGGAGCCAGGGCCCCATTCCAGCAGCCTGGTTCGCTGCAAAGTATCACTCCATCCCTCCTGCCTCTCCATGTGCATAACTAAACCTTAATAGGTAAGGCCACATTAGGTCAGTGCCCAACAGAGAAAGGGCTCCAGAAAACTTGGTGTGCTCCACCCTTATCAGCTGAGACTGTTTTTGCTTCCAGCCAGTAAAACTGATGCTTTTTCCTTTTTGCAGTCCATTAGTCCATTAATCCATATCTCTTGTAAAGATTCCAGTTTTTCTACCATCACAGTATTAGAGAAAAGCCAGAAAGCTGGCTGGTTTGATTCAAAGCATGAACCAAAACACTCTTCTGCGCTTTCCAGGGAAATGGGAGGTAACATCTGATTGCTGGCTTGGCCGGGGTCTGGGGGATGGTGGTCCGTGCCTGTAAAGGCCATCCACACCGACCATGGGTGCCCACCAGCCGAGTGCTACCGCCTGTGTACAGGCGGTATGGCGGCGGCAGCAGGTCCAGGGACGTGGGGCATGCAGCTGGCAGAAGTGGGCGGTCAGTGGACATGTGAGATCACCCACGGCTCTTGGCCTCCAGACACGTCACTGAAATGCAACAGGCCTGGCATTTAGGGTAGAATCTAGTGGACTTCCTTGGATTTTGAAATGGTGTTTGTTAGGGGTTGAAAGCTAGTTTGTTAAAAGCTAGATGAGAAATGACAGGTGAGCTACCGTGGCTTATTTCCAGACTCTGGTATAATGTGTGTAACTTAAAGCCATTGCAGTCAATTATGAAAAGCCACAATTTCTAAAATCCAAAGACTCCACTAAAGGAACAAGGTCTCAAGGGATGTGTGAGGCAGCTGCTCAGGCTGGGCGCCCAGCACCAGAGAGACTGAGAGGCTTTGGCCAACCTCTGAAGTGGAGCCCCTGCAATCACTCCTGTAGAACTGCCGGCCCAGTCAGGCTTCTGTCAAAGTGGACTGCTTTAAAAAAGGAAGGGATGTTGGTAATTGGAAGTAAAGACACCTCAAAGTTTCAGTGCCTGGGCCTTCATATAGGACTGAAGAAATAATAAGGGGCACTGATGTCCTTTAATTTCTGGGAAGTGGTTTTCAATGTTTTATTAACAGTTACTAATCTATTACTAAAGGAAAACCTCAAATGAAAATTCTTGAAGAGTCCCATTACATAGGGTTCCCCGCCACTGTAAAATTTACAGATGCATCTGAGACTTTTAGTAGGTCCTAGTTCTCCAAAATGGAGGGGGCTGAGGGGCAGCTTCAGTCTCAGCTGCCTCAGTCCAAGTGCCACTTTGAGAAGAAACATACTTGGCATCAAGCAATCCTTTGTAACTGCCACACTGAAAAGTTAGATTTTAACCAAAATTTAAATCCTGGAGTTCACCCACTAGTCAGTGAAGCCAACTTGCCTTCTTCATGAAGAAACAAATCTGAAAGAAAATGGCTACGGGTGTGCTTTGTGTGAAAGGTGAGCAATGAAGCATCTGTACGTTCAAAAAAGAAAAGAAACAACTCCAGTGAGATGCTCCCGGTTTGCTTTCTCTGGCTGGCCCTACAACCGGTTCTATTTATACCCAACCGGTCTTGCCTTAGAGTCCTCTGGCCTTTGGAACTATCCTGTAGGCAGAGTTTCTGAGCAAACACCCTCCAAAGCAGACGTCTGGTAGTGTGTGGCCTTCACTTCTAGAAGGTCAAGTCTGGCTGACCTGCCTGTTATCAGTTTCCCCAGTGAGAACAGTGTTAACTGAAGAGTCCACGTCAGTGTGAAACACAGCCACAAAACAGCAAGGGTGGTGTCAATGATCACTTTCCGTCTTGTCATTGGGGCCCCAGACCTTTCTTCCTTTGGAGATAAAAGGTCACAAGCTCATGTCCCTGGAGGCCTAAGTAGACAGCAGTTACCGACCCAGTTAGAAAACAAAGCAGCATCTTGAACACGAGGGAGAGATGGTAACAGACAGGGGAGCTCATGGAAACAGGCTTCCTACAGAGCCTTCCCCACAGGCAACAATTCACATTTCAAAGCTGCAAAGATGTTCCTGGAGAGTCGTTTGTGTGTGAACGTGCAACAGACACAGGTACAAGGAAAACTGGTGAGATGTAAGCACCATTTGCCATAAAACGTTCTCAGTCATAGTCTCAGTAGCAAAAATCACATGCCCATGAAGACAGCCACACAAGGCCTTCCACTTTTCTGAAGGCAATCACTGCGATGACAGGATCGGGGACCCTGACCAGCAGCTGAAGGGTGGGAGCCAACAGGCCCTATCAGCCTACAGAGGATGGACCAAAGGATGGGAGGCAAACCCTCCTAAAGTCACCAGAGGTCTGTGACTTTAACAGTGTGCCACAAAGCTGACAGGTAGACCAGGTCTCAGCAGCAGGACCCCCACCACACGGAACATGGCCCCAGCAGATATGCACGTGTGCTCAGGAGCACCACCTGTCGCTGACTCGGGTCTCTTTTATCACAACTTTCTGAGGACAAATTAAAAAGCAGTAATACCAAGAATTCTCCCTACTTAGGGGGGAAAATCACTTTATATGAAAAGGCATAAAATAGTAGGTTGCAATAAACCCTCCAATCTATGTACCAGCGGCCATTGCGTAAGGAGGTCAGGGAGGTCATGGTGGGCAGACCTGGGAGCATCTCCTGAGGACTGGAGAGTGGCACAGTGACGGGAGTGAGCTGCAGTGAGGTGGGCAAACTTGGGGCAACTCTGCGGGGAGAAGGGCGAGCTGCCGTGAGGTGCCCACACTCCAGGCCTGTGCGACCTCCCCGAGTAGACCCACAGAGACAGCCACACACGAGAGCTTTCCTTGTTCCTGGAGGAAATCCCTGCCATGAGTTGTCCCCACCAGGGGCTGCCCACCCATGCCAGCCAGCTGAACACAACTCTGGTGTCACTGTGCCCGTGAGACCCGCAAGAGGTAGTGAAGTGGTTGCAAAGGTTTGCTTTGGGTGAGAGGACAGTGCTAACTCATTCTGGCCAAATAAACTGGACCAGGCCGCAAAGAGCCTCCTGGCTCTTCATCGCTTGCACAGTGGTGATGGCTTCATGGCACCTTGGCCCTGCCTGTTTCCTGGGCTCTCTACCTCCAAGAGCAGTGCTCACTGACAGCTAGTGACTACTCTAGCCTCTCTTGCTGCCCTGTGGGAACAATTTCCAAAGTGAGGAGGCAAGGGTGGGGACAGGGTGCTGCTTACTCCCCCTGCAGCTCTGGGGCCTGGAGGGCATGCATTTTCCACTGTGCAGCTCAGGCAGAGCTCTCTCCCCTCCTCCTCACACGTTCTGGGGCCTCTCCTGGGATGACGGCCTATAGGAGGCCATTCAGTTGCAGTCTGAATGAGGCAATGGATGTTCCATCATCCAATTTTCCACCAAATCAGTCCAGTGATCAAGCTGCTTCACTTGATTTTGCCATTCAAGTGTTCAGCAGAGATGAACGTGGCCGGCATATTCCTTTCATCAGGACTTTGTCTTCCTGCCCCTGGTCCCACCCCATTGAGGCTTTCCTCTGCCCTGGCTACCAGTCCTCGGTCCTGGGACCACTCCTTACCAAGGAGACAAGAGCTGTTACTGTCCTTCCCGACACCTTCAGAGAGAGCCAGACTCCCCGACTGCCCAAGTCCAACTGGCAAGCTGCCTGAAGCCACCTGGGAACCACAGCTGCCACCTTGGTTTCCTTCCCACCTATGACACCAGAAGTCTAAAAAGCTCAGAGGGCTGCTTGGTCATGCCAACCCTTCCCTTCCCTGTGCCCTGAGTCACAGGTCTTGGTCACAGTGGCTGGGACTGGCCTCAGATTTTGTGCAAAAAACTGGGGACATAGTCAAACCTAAGCATGGGGTGGCTGATCCCAGGAGACTCCTGCATATAGTGCAGCTTCAGCAGCTCAGCCAGGTACTTGACCACCTTGACATCTTCATTCACTAGACCCAGATTCAGCTTCAAAAAGCTTGCCTGCCTGCTGGCAACCAATTCCTCTATTTCCTTGTTGTGGGAAGGCAGGTGCAGGTGGTGACAGAAGGTGTAGAGGAAGGCCTTGGAGCAGAGCTGGGTTAGCATGCTCTGGACGTGCAGGTAGTAGGTGCTGCCCCGCTTGATTTGAGTACGGTGGTCTGCCAGCCGGGGCACAAGGGTGCCTCTGTAGAGGGGGCAGCGCAGGGTTTTGTTGTCTAGGTCCAGAATGCTCGTGTAGCGGCTGTAGCGGCTCAGAACATGGAGGGTACTGGCACTGGCAGGGGATGCCACTCTGAAACACATAGGCCAAGGTCAGGAGGAAGGGCAAGGGCCAGGAAGACGGAGGTAAATGCTTTAGTGTGGGGCTTCCTGTCTGTAGGCCAGTTCCTACCCAGCCAACACTCTGGCTTTCTGGAAGGTAAATCTGGTCATCATGATGTTCAAAGAGTTCCTTACCACCCTCATGACCCAGTTCAAGTGCCTTGGCATGGCCCACAAAGCCCTGTACAACCTGCTTCCTGCTGACTTCTGAGGCTTTAACTGTTACTTCCCCAATGAACTCTCCCTTGCAACCATGCCAAGCTTTCGGTGGGGCCTCAAAACCACAGGCCTGTTTGCTCTGCCTTCCTCCCTTTTGTACATGGCTTATGCCAACTTAAACCTTCGCCAGCCTTCCCTGATCTCCTCCTTTGCTTTCCCGCTATGATCTTGGCCAAGATCCTTAACCTTTGAGACTTCTCTGTAAGACACACAATGAAGCATGCATAGAATGTCTGGCCCTCAGCATCACCAGCCTGGCTCTGAACAGTGTGGTGACAGCTATCTTTCTTCTTGTCTTGTCCACTGAACAAGAGTTTCTGCAGACTCAGGACTGTCCCTGATTTGCCCTCCTGTCCTCAATGCCCCGCACATCAGGGGTGGGCAGGCAGGCAGGGTCTGCCCAATGAGGGAACGAGGTCAGAGTGGTCAATCTTATTAGCAGCTCCTTAAATCTCTCCTGTATCCGTTTTCCTAGAGAACTGATTACCCTGCGGAGTATGGCAAAGACTGGCTGATCAGAGATTTCAGAACGACATACTCTGGAATTTGGGGCTTGTGTTAGACCTAAAATGGTGTGTGTGCAATGGACTTACAGTCACTTGGGACCAAGGTAATCTCATTTTTTCCTTCCTGAATGTTATCTTGTGTAATTAACACATTTACTGAGCATCTACTATATTCCAGGTAGTGACCCAGGGGCTGAGCGGGCAACAAACGAGCCTGGTTTGGTTGGAAGAAAAGCTGAGTACACTTAATGACAGGAGATGTGGTCTTGCTCTCCACAGGAGAGACTCAGGGCCAGAAGATCCCAGTGCAGTGGCCTTGGAACTGGGCTTTGAAACAAAAGTTGGCCCTGGGAACTGGGGAAGGCATCCAGGCCACAGTGAGAGCAAGGTCAAAGAGATGGCTAGGCAGACTGTCAAATGGGCCACACATTCTGAGAACCATAAAGAGAGCATTGGGCTTTGGCCTACATTCCACGGGCAATGGGAAATCAGGCTGGTAGGCAGTTCATTGGCTTCTCAGGTCGGTAGGCCTTTTCCCACACATCCCCAGTGTGCTCGGTCCATTCCTGAGACAGCGGCCCAAGGGCGCCAGGCCATGAGCCAAACTCCTCCTCAGGCTTGGCACATCCAGCCCACCAAAGCTCTGCCACAGCAACACAGCCAGGCTCCACCTCATCCTCCTGCCCCTCCATCCCAGCCACCTGTCCTGATGGAGCAGCCTGGCCTCAGGCCCAGCCTCTGCTGGGAAAGCTCTGACACCCCCACCCACTCCACCTATCACAGCACCATTTCTTTGAGAAGATGCTGCTCCTTCTAACATTTCTAATTTCTTAATTTCTCTAAAAGCTCCTCATTAGGAGGCCAGATGACATGGGAAGAAGTGAGTCCCCGGCCTGTCCCTAAACTCTACAACATGGGTGCCTGAGAGCCTCACACTTCACCTCTCACCCCTGTTCAAATTCATCACAGGATGTCCCAAAGCCAGGCAGGCAAATTCTTTGTATCTCAGTGTACCTAAAGAACACTGAGGCCCAAAGAGGGACCATCGCGTGTCCGAGGTCACCCAGCTTGAAAATGGCTGAATCAGGATTCAACCCAGGGCCTCTGACCCACCTTAGCACTGTTTCTCATCAGAACTGAGCTGTTTTTCAAACAGTCCAGGGCTTGTTACTGCTGCTTAGTAAGCAATACAATAATCACTGGTTTGGGCTTAAAATAATGGGAGATGGGTTTGACTGCCGATCTATCTCTTGTACTCACTCTGTGCACAGCAAGGCCCTACTTCAGTAGGAAAAAAAATCAAACCACCAATAAAATCAAACCGGCAGTTCTGGGGTGGGAGTCCTTAAAAAAAAAGTTCATCGTCAGAGCTGGTTTTAGCTGAAGACCAAGTACCTGAGTGGGAAGAGACTCTCCTGAGTCACAAAATTCTGATTCCAGATTAACTAGGCACATGGGACCAGCCTTCTTACCGAGCACCCCTGTAGATAGGAAGCTCATGACCACACACAAGCAACACTTCTACTCATACTCTTTATGCTGATCCTCAGAGGGGCCTCAGTCGGCCTCTGTCTCAGTGCTGGGTCTGCCTCTGGGGCAACTCACCATCCATCCGCAACTCCAGCACTTCTGAGGGCTGCACACAGAGACAAGCTGTGCCTGCCTCCAGCTCCACATGGGGACTACTGTAAGCCCCATTCACAGACAGGTTCAACAAGTTTTGTTGAGTGAATGAAGAGATAACTGCTCCAAACTCACATAGCTAGTAAGGTTAACACCAAGACCTGAGCTCAACACACCCACTGCCTCCTTCTAACAGCCATGGACCACAACTCCATGGAGTTTCACCTTATGTACTTTCACATCCTATCCACTATTCACCTTGCAGAATTTTTTCAGGTGATTTATAGCAAATCCAATCCCCACTCCACTTTCAGGCCCTCAGCTCACCCTCTAGAGACAGGTCCCCTAGAGAACAAGGCCTCCAACTCTGTCTACCATTCCAAATGCCTGAGCAAGACCCCTGGATGCAGATGCTCCCAATTTCCAGCCCGTGAGCACACTCAGGAGGTCTGAGCAGGAAAGCTTCACAGACGTAATCACTTCCCCACTTGGAATTCTCGCAAAGAGCTCAGCTATCACTCTGACAGGACTCTAGCTTTTGCGGAGACCTGCTTCAAGACTCTGAAGTCTGGCGATGCAGGCCACACTTAGCCCCTGCTGCCCAAGCCTGACTTCCTCAGTCTGTCTGGGCCCTGGTAGGGTATCAGAAGAGGGCTCATACTGCTCAGGGACAGATCAGATGTGATGGGCCTTCCAACCTTTGTAATCACAAGGCAGGCCTTGTCGGCAACTTCTGCAGATGGAAACAGCCTCAGCGAGGTCAAGCTGACAGTGGTGACAGAGCTGGGGCTGGAGTGAAGGTTGACTGAGAAGGCCATGCTCGCCCTGTCCTGGGATGCACCATGGCTGTTGGCTCACCTTATAATTCTGGCACTGGGCCCAACAGCTGGCACATAGCCCTCAGTAAGTACTTGGCAAATGATCATTCAGTGACCCAATCCTCTTGTCTTCTCAGAAGGAAACAAAGCCTCGAGTGAAGAAGTGACGTGTCCAGGTGCCCACTGTGAATGAACAGTGGTAGAGAAGGGACGCCTCAGGACTTAGACCACCTTACTCCTCCTCTGCCATTCCCAGGTGCCAAATATACTGCCACCTACCCACTCCTGCACCCATGGGGACATCATTAATTTAGACAGCAGGAATTCCAATGCAGCCCAACCTAGGCCTCAGAATCCTTCTCAACACAGCACTTCAGTCAAGTACCCAGTAGAGTGGAGCTAGTATAAGAAATGAAACTCTCTGGCCATCCTGGCACATTCTAGGAAAGGAATTTAACAGAAAACCTCCAGAAAGGGCAAGACTGTCCTGAGCCTAGTCCTCAATAAGTTAGCCGACATCAATAGATTGATGTATGTTTTAGAGTCTCCACTTCTAAAGAAAAAAAAAAAAATCAAAGTTCAAGTGTTGGGGTGAGAGGATAGAGTTGGGGAATAAAAGGTGCGCGCGCGTGTGTGAGATACCCACCCATCATTCCACCAAGAACAAGCAAAACACAACCCCTGAAAAGCCTTTGCCTTCCTGGGACAGAACGGTTAATCCCAAGACCACAGAGTTGCCATGAGCCTAGGGTCAGGACTGTGGGAGTAAAGACAAAGCCTTTGCTGCAATGGCAGTCAGTGCAGTCAGCTAACCTACCAAGCCTCAGATGCTGCATTTTTAAGCAAGGATTTAATGTTTCCCAGGGTGCCTAAGTCCCCACGTTGTCACTCTTCCCCAAGAAGGGCAACTCTACCCTTCAGGTCATTCAAGCCGAAGACCCCAGGCCTTCTCCAGTCTCCCTTCCCCCTTCCCACCTGTCACTAAATTACTTTTTTTCTCTCAGAACACACAAAGCACCTGCTGTTAGAACGCTCATCTCCCCGTATGGTAAGGTTCTGGTCACCTGTCTGCCCCTTCTCCTAACTACTAATTCTTCCAGAGCAGTGGCCTTGCTCAGGTACCTCCAACTGGTACCCCAGGACCTGCAAGCATAGCCTGTATGTTCTCAACAAGTGAATCAAGTTATGCCATGGAAGTAGTCCTTGTTTGAATCCCACCACCATGACACTGGGGGAAGCCTAATGCAGCAAGAGGTAGTAAGTCTGGGGGACTTCTGTATGAAAGGGAAACACACTCGGAATGGTGACCTCACTGATACTAGAAACCATGTTAACAGAAGTTGGAAAATTAGACTAAACAGTGGCTGACTGCAGTGTGTAAGAATTCCTTTTGCCCTTCCTATGGGGTATGGGAAGCACCGAATGTCTCAGCAGGGACTCTCATGATCACCGAGATCAAAACCTTTGCTTTACAGAGGAGCAAAGTGAGCTGCAGAGAAGGGAATGAGGAAACTGAACATAGTACGTACACTGAGGGAGAGCCCCTTGTGCCACACAACTTGTTAAGCACTTTTTGGAAAAACAAAAAGAATCTACTAAAGCACAAGTGAGGAACACAGGGAAATGAAACAAAGCATTCAGAGAGGGACAAGGAGCTGGCTTTTGCCTTTTCTTATTAAGACAGCCTTCAAAGGCAAACAGGACAGTGGAGTGAAAGCCACAGAAGCCCCATGATGTCCCTGTCACCTGTGAGGGCTGCCTCCCCTACTAGTACCACAGCCCTTTCTCAGAAGCAGATACTTAGTGGTCTACACTATAGCGTGTGAATTTGAGAATCAACAAGGACCTGAGATCTAGAAGTCCAGTCTTTTCCCAAGCCTTGTTGTACACCTTATCCCAAACCGAATGAATCAGTCTTTGGAAGTTGGGCCGAGAAATCATAATTTTTAAAATTCTCCCATAATTCTGGCACAGCAAGGTGCAGACCAGGATCAGCAACCACTTAGGAACTACAATCCCCTCATATGACTGACAGACAAGGAAACACAAGGCCAGAGAAGGGGAATGAACTACCAAAAGTAACAATGAGTTGGTGCTGGACCGGTCTGGAAGCCAGGCCTCCTGACTCTGGGTCTGCCACACCAACTTTTAACTTCACCCAGAGGGATGTACATTCAAAGTCTCATCTCTAACTGGACAAGGCCCTTCCCCACTATCTGTAACCAATTACCTCTGCAGGCCAATTAGCTTCCACTTCTGAAAATCCGTAATGTGCAAAGGGGCGGAGACCCAGTGCTTCACAGGTTTGGCATAGCGGCTGTAGTTGGGGACGAAGATGGACAATGCTGTCACAAGCTTCCTGACTATGGCCTCGTCCTCTCCCAGGACCACAAGTGTCCTCCCACTGAGCAGGGAGTAGATGGCTGGGTGGGCAAAGGGGTACTGGCGGATGAATTTTAAGGCATTCTGGCCAGCCCTCTTTTTATGTCTCTCAGAAGAGGGGCCAGTGAGATGAGCAGAGGGAGTCCTATCCAAGCTGGTGGAGGCTACACTGCTCACATAGCTGGTGGTGTCTGAGTAGTTGTCCAGGCTGGTCTTACTGATGTCCCGGCTAACCAGCAGGTGGCTCGAGTCCAGCTCATAAGCAGGGAAGCCTTCAGAACTGTTGTCTCGGGAAGAAGGGCTGGCATTTTCCACTGCAAAGTCCACACGGAACCCCTGGTCCTTCTGCCTGTAGCGCTGTGGGGGGATGCTTACTACTCCATCCTCGTCAGAGAGTGCGTGGGCTGGTGTGGAGAGTGGCACCAGGAGACTGTCACTCTCCTTCCCAATGCAGCAGGAGTCGGCTTGCAATGAGGTGTTTTCTAAGCTGCCCTCCTCTGGCTCGCCCAGCTCAGCTGGGCTGCTGCTTGCCTGGAAGTGGATGGCTCCCTCACTATCATCTACACATGATTCTTCTTCATTAATAGCACTTGGATAGCTGGCCTTAAACTCATCAGGGATGAGGGCCTCAGAGGGGCAGGTGCTGAGAACTTCAATGCTGTCCTCACTGATGGTCCTGTGGCTGACTGCTTTGCTCCGCATCACCTGGGGGCTCAGTGGCACCATGAGGCTGGCCTGGCTGTCAGACTTAGACAGCACAGAGGTAGACTTCTCTGTGCCTAGAACCTCAATGCTTTCACCACTGCTGATGCTGCCTTTCATATCCATATCCAGGTAGTCCAAGTTTTCCTGGAGATCAAAACTACTCAGTTGTGTAGCCTCCGCTTCCTTGTAGTCCTCATCTCCGAGTTCCTGCTCCATCTTGATCAGCACAGACTCCACACTGGACTTGTAAGAGCCAACACTAATTAACACTTGAGGAACTGGGCATTCTTCTAGAGATCTGGAAGGCGGCCTGTCTTGAGTAGGCTTAAAGGGTATGCTTTCTTGTGTCTCCACCACCTTGTCATAGATATCCACGAAGTCTTCAAAGAGAAAGTTTGTTATGTGCTGTTGCTTTAATAGTGCTCTGTCAATCTGGCTAGTCAGGAGATAGCACAGGTCTCCTCTGAACATGTGCTCAATGTGGCTGAGCTGAGCCAGGGTCTTGGTGAAATATTCAGTGTCACAGAGCTCTTCCAAGGTCTTCAACTTCTTGTCAAAGCACTTGGTGGACTTTGCTTTGATGAGTTTCGGGGTGTAGGCAGGTCTGCAGGTGTACAGGTCTGTGTCAGCACACTCATCGGGATTAGAAGCAGTGGCTCCCTGGTCAGGCTGATTCTGAATATGTTCCATCTCCCCAGAACACACATCAGTCCCCTTTAACTTCCGATGAGGGTATGAGCGGATCTGCTTCAGCAGATCTTGATGTTCGATGATAGACTTCTCTACGCTAGCGAGTTCATTGGCTTTTTCAATTGCTTGAGATGAGTAAAAGCCTTTGTCGTTGGCTTTCTTCTGGATCTCCGTTTCAGTGTGCAGCACGGTCCTGGTGTAATCCAAGTCTTTCAGTTTTTTTTCAAGTTCCATAGCAAAGGCCTTCCTGTTGCCTGTCTTCAGGTACTCAGAAGCTTTGGAAAACTCTGCCGAAAGCTCCTGGAATTGCTGCATGATTTTGTGCTGGTCTGCTGAGATATAAGCCATGCAAAAGGGCCTCACAAAGCCACGGGCTTCCAGGTCGTACAGAGTAAGGTGGTGCACATAAGCAAAGGCTCCCTCTTTGGAGTCTCCCAACACCACCTTGGAGTCCTCCACGAAGTTCAACTTGGGATAGGCAGAACCAGGGGGATGGCCCACGAAGGACGCCTGGTAATCCACAGACATGATCCTCAAGGAGAAGTAATTGAGATCAAAAGTACCAAAAACTTTGGTGTCATTAGGGATGGTCAGCAAGGGTTGAGGTCCCACCTGCTCTGAGAACTCGGAAATAAGGATGAAGTCCCGAGAGAACTTGGCTCCGGACAGTTTGGACCATGGGTTAGCTCCTTGGCTTGTGAAAGGGAAGAGCGGCACCGAGTACTCTTCCGGCAGGGGCGGCTCATTGTAAGGCTCCTCCTCGTACTCGTCCTTTTTGGTGAAGGCCACCACGTCAGGGGCGCTGATCATTATTTCCAGGTATACGGAGAAAACATTGAGAGGAAGTAAAAAAGAAAGCTGGGGTAATCAACGCAGGAAAGCCAAACCTCTGGAGGAGGAAGCAAAGTCCGTGCGGTCTTCTTTGCGCCCTCAGGGGTACTTTGTTGCCTCTCACACGCCCGCGAACTCAAACTCCCGCAGCCCCTCAAAGGTGCATCTCCTCCAGGGCCCTCCAGGCCTCATGAAGTCCGCAGGTCCGGATGACCGTGGAGGCCGGCTGCCCTTCTCCTCCTCCCGTTTGAGGGCGGCCGGCGCAGAGCACCTGCGGGGAGGTCACCGGGACTTCTCCGAACCCACCGGTGAAAGCAACAGCTTCGGCCCTGAACTGGTGCCTTACGTGGGGCTGCCGGCCGCCGCAGAGGCCAGCCGAGCGTTGCAGCTCCCACAACGCGAGGCAAAAACCGTCGCGGCTCCTTGGACGCCACAACCAAAAGCCACCTAGATCGGCGCCGCCATCTTAGCATCACATGACTCGCGCTATCGGCGCCGCGTGACCCGGAAACGTCCGCCAGACTTCCGAGCTGGAGTCAAAAACATTGTGACCAAGAGTGAAGCTTGGCGGGGACTGTGGAACGGCCTCCTCCAAGGACCAATCAGTGAAATTACTAACTGGAAGGAGAGGAAAAGCCGGGGCGCGGAGACGCGATGGGAGGAGAGGTCCAGGAGCGCGGGGCAGTGTGGGAGTTGTAGTTCGCGGTCCTATGGACTGGCGGAAGTGGCCCGAGAAGGCGGGCGGGAGTCGTGCGTGTCCGCGCGGGATTTGGCGCGGAGGCGGGGGTGGTGAGAAAGAGACGTGGCTGCAGCTCCTAAGCCCGGTGGGCTGCTGGGAGGAGAGCGGAACAGTGTTCGCGGCACTGGCGGCTGCGGGAGGCTTTAATTTCCTGAGGGTGGGCACGGAGTGGCCTTCACCTCTGATTTCCCCGCCATGCACGGGCTCCCGGGATGATCTTCCCCGTCGTCCGCTGCGCGCTCCGCTGTCTCCGTTTGCCCGGAGGCAGAAACTTGTCTGCCTCGGCCATGGAGGTGGCCTTCCGAGGCGTGCGAAAAGTCCTCTGTGTGGCCGAGAAAAACGACGCGGCCAAGGGGATCGCCGACCTGCTGTCCAACGGTCGCATGAGGCGGGTAAGGAGACGCACTTCCGATCAGCTGTACTTGATGAGGCCCACGGAGCGGGACATCGTGGTGGGCGTGGGAAATAGGGATGAAGATTCCTTCTCTCACCTGTAGGTATTCTCTGTCTTCCCGAGACCATTGCAATGGCCGCCTGTCTTCTAGGACTGACCGATGGACATTTTTAAATGGAGTTTAAGAGGTTTCACTTTTTTGCTTGAAAACCTGGGATCTTCCTTGCCTCCCGCAGTGGTTGCCAAACCTGTCTGCCGCTTGGAACCACCTGCGGCTGTGGCTTTTCCGTGAACTTGGGGTGAGACTGGGGTAGTCTGTATTTTAACATTTTTTACGCGGGATCTAAAACGATTAAGGTGGGAGTCACTGAGCAAGCTCCTTTAAGTTGGCATTCAAGCCCTGCCTGATCATTCCCAGGTAACCCCATTTTTCTGCCACACCCCCTGCAGTTCTGCAGCCTCGCTGACTTTACAGTCTAAGTGCATACTGACAGGGCAACACTGTGTAAGGTTCGAAGATTAGAGGCAGATGTCGGCCCTTTTCCTATTGCCAGCAATGGTCCTTGGCTACCAGTTCAACACAGCAATCCCCACTTTGGGATGCGGTGAAGAAGGAAACTGTATTCAGTGCATAACAGCCATGGGTCTTTTAGCTTCGCTGGGGAAACATTCCTGCGTGGACAGAGAAAGTGTGCTCAGGCTGGAAGCTGATTTATATAGACATAAGTCCCTACCCCCGATCCCTGATTTGTCCTTCCTCATGCAAATGAGGACTCCAGATCCTTGCAGTTTGGTCCAAAAGACGCTATACTCATTGGTAAGAAAGGAGCCACTCTGGTCGGTGGGGGGTATAGTTGCATAACTCACACTGGTTGGGAAAAGCCTCAGTACTATTGGTTGAAACAGGATTCCAGGAGCTTTTTTATTAGGGCTGGCTCGGTGGCAGGGACACAGTGCAGGCAGGCAGTTCCCTGCAGGCTTCTCAGTGAAGTGCAGTTTGCAAGAGAGGCCCACGTGTAGAAATGGTTGCTAGGCTTTGTTTTTTTTAAAAATTTGAACCCAGTTAGCCAACAGGAGCCCTTAGTAGGTATCTTCTTTCATAGGGTCCTCCCTAGCATACAAACTAATTCTGGGAGACAGGCAAGTAAGGGATAAGATGTATTCTGGACACACTGGGACACAAAGGAAGGGGAGAGTAAGAAAGGGTTTCAAAAGGGAGGAAACGTGAAGGCCTAAAAAACAGTTCGGGAAAGTCTCTCAAACAACCAAAGTGCAGCCTGAAATGGTTTTCTGGAGAACATTCCTGAGACCATAGGGTAGAAGTTCCCTGCCCTTCTTTCTTTCAACGCGCAGGGCTCTTGGACCTGTTTCTGGTGTGTGGCCAACAGGAGCAGGAGCCAAGGTTGTGTGGGTGCTGAGAGCTTCACCTCTTTTCAGTGCCAAGAATCTTGGTGACCAGCCCCAAGGTTTGTTTGCTTAAGAGGGCTCAGGGCCTCTTGAAAATGGCCCATCTACACCTAACTTACTTCTGTATTCTTCAGGGCTTGTTTAAATGTTTCTTCTTCAAGGAGCCTTTCCTCATGTTCTCTCCCCTGAACTGGGAGAGAGACACTTTATGATTCACTGTCATGGTACCCTGTTCTGTTTGGAAGACACCTACCAGTTACAGTCAAATAATGCACAGTGCAGTTATTTATTTGATATCTCTCAGCACCCTCCTTGGCTTCTAAGTTCCAAAGGAAAGGGGCTATGTCTATTTTGTGCATTGCCGTATTCCAAGAGCCTAATACAGTGCCTGGAATACAGGAGACTTTCAGTCCATGTTTCTTGGGTGAATGTTTGAGCTGAGGCTTGAAAGTGTTACCAGGCGGTGGAAACAGTGTGTATAAAGGACAACCAGTGGCTTGAAACAGTTTGGAATGTTCAAAAACTGAGAAGTTAGGAGTGGGAGGAGGAACCAGTGAGTTAAGCAAGAGAGGAAATTGAAGGTAGATCATAAGGGTATTAGAGATCCATGTAATATTTTATGCACGATTGTTAAAGTACACAGAACAGTCCTTGCTGGTGTGGCTCAATGGATTGAGCACTAGCTTGCGAACCAAAGAGTTGCCGGTTTGATTCCCAGTCAGGACACATGTCTGGGTTGCAAGCCAGGTCCCCAGTGGAGGCATCTGAGAGGCAGCCACACATTGATGTTTCTTTCCCTCTCTCCCTCCCTTTCCCCACTCTAAAAATAAATAAAATCTAAAAAAAGAAAAAAGATAAAGACTGTCCTTTTTTCCATTGGGTGGTCTTAGAGCCCTTGCCAAAAATCCTTTGACCATAGATGTTTGGCTTTGTTTCTGGACTTGCAGTTCTACCCCATTGTTCTGTGTATCTGGTCTTATGCCAGTACGACACTGTTTTGACTGCAGTAGCTTGGTAGTAAGTTTTGAAAATGGGCAGTATGAGTCCTCCAACTTTGTTCTTCTCTTTTTTTCAACAGTGATGTTTTGGCTACTTAGGGGTCCCTTGCAATTCTGTAGGAATTTTAGGATCAATGTTTCCATTTCTTCAAAAGAGACTATTGGAGTTTTGTGAGGATTGCACTGAACCAGTAGACCACTTTGGGAAGTGTTACCATCTTAATATTGTCTTCAGTCTCTGAACACAGTCTTGCCATTTATTTAGGTCCTTAAATTCTTTCAACAATGTGTTGTAGTTTTCATTGGCTTTGGGATGCTATTGTGAATGGAATTGTTTTCTTAATTTCCTCTTCAGATTGTTCGTTGCTGTTGGGGGGTTTTGTGCCTGTAGGTTATATCCTGTAAGTTTGCTGAATTTGTTTATCAGTACTAATAGTTTTTATTGCTTTTTTAAGATTTCGGTCTATAAAATCTTGTCTGTAAATAAAGGTAATTCTTCCTTTCCAATTTGAATGTTTTTATTTCTTTTTGTACCTAGTTGCTCTGGCTAAAATCTAGTAATCTTGGATATAATCATGAAACAGACATTTTTGTTTTGTTCCTCATCTCAGAGGAAAAGCTTTCACTCTTACCATTGAGTATGATGATGTTAGCTGTGGGGTTTTATTATGAAGGATGTTGAATATTTATTATCAGAGGCTTTTTCTGCATCGGTTCATATGAGCAATGTAGGGTCTTTTTCATCCTCACCTGAGGATACTTATTGATTTGAGAGAGAGAAGCGTCAATCAGTTGCCTCCTGTACACCCTCCCACGAGGGATCGAAGCCCCAGTGTAGGTGTGTGCTCTGACTGGGGATTGAAACTGCAACCCTTTGGTGCATGGGATGACACTCCCACCAACTGAGCCACCTGGCCGGGGCAGCAGTGTAGGTTTTAAGGAAGGGAGTACTGGGGTCGAATTTGTGTCAAAATCACTCTGGCAGCAGAGGATTTGAAGAGTGAACACCTAAAGGCGACAGCTGTTGGTGTTCCCCATGTGAGAGGTCAGAGGCCTGAACTCGAGAACCCATGGAACAGTTTGAGTAGGAGCAGAGGGAGTGGAAAGGAAGGGAGTGATAGAAACTGAGTTTAAAAGTTCACCATGCATTTACAAATCTTTGTCTTTCTTCTGGAATAATTTCCAGCTTGTCTCCTGATGAGCTCTTTGTCTTTTAAAAGAAACATAAAAGGCAACCTAAATGTAACCTCTTTTGTGAAGTCTTTCCTAAGTGTCCTCTTTATCCATTTCCTTCTCTGTTTCCAGATGCGTGTTCATCTCTCCTGATGACAGCAGTCATCATGAATGGAGTTACCCCGTTGTTTGTCGCATCTCTCCCATGGTGTGTCACCTCCCTAAGAACAGTGACGGGTCCTATTCATTCTTTCATCCCTCAAACAGAGCCTGGTACATGAAAAACACTTGGTGAATGTTCATCAAATGTCATAATCTCTACTATTTAAGGGATTTAAATTCTGTAGAGGCACTAAAACATACAGACACACACAGATCAGAATCCAGTGATGGCCATTGCAGCTTCATAATAGCAAGGAATTGAAATAACAAGAACTAGTAATGGAAATATAATGGATAAATAAATTGTATGTCCGTATGATAGATTATTAGACATTTGTTATGGAAAACACTTCAACATATGTTTTAAACAAGTACATATATATACACATTTGAAAGAAATTTACCAAAATATTAAGGAGATAGAATTTTTCTTTAACAGTAGCACTTACACTGTTGTAATTATTGTAGAGAGTTCAGAGAATACATATGTCTATCAAGAAGTAAACCATCCCCACCGGCCAAAGTAACCACTGCTAATAACTGATAGACCCTTAAGGACTTTTTTATGTGTGCACAATTTTTTCATGGTTTTATTTTTATATTTAAAAGGAGAAATCTTAAAAAGAATCCTGCTACAGATTCAGTGGCAGCAATGCAGTCAATTTCTACAAAGTGCTTAGAGGAGATGCAACTTAGACTCTTTTTTAGTAGCGTGGGTAGCAAAGAGATCATAGCTACATTCTTGGTCTATCTACTCGGTTTTCTTTCTCTGGGCTCCAAAACATTATAATTGCGAGTGGCCGAAAGCATCTGAGAACCTCATCTAAGAGGTAGAATCACACATGGGAATTACAGGGAGGAAAGTTTGAAATACTAGGAAAACATTTTACATCCTTAAGATTATCCATTGGTAGAAGAGACTGCCCAGGAGAGCCTTGAACCTGGGGTGACACATGTTATTTGCTAAATCGTTTACCTGGAGAGGATTAGAACAGTGGTGTTCAGACTGTGTTCCCAGGATACTCAAGGGACCATTGATGTGCACCTTGGAGCAACTTGGGGCTGGACTGGGGAAAGGGAGAGTTAGCACGACTTAGCCTTGTTGCCGCCAGGGTACCTTATTATGTGCCAGGGTCTCTATCTGCCCTTCGATTCTAAATGGTATCTTTGTTGGGTAGAGCAATCTTGGCTGTAGGTCCCTGCTTTTCACAGCTTTTAAATGTTTCTTACCAATCCCTTCTAGCCTGCAAAGTTTCTTTTGAGAAATCAGCTGACAGTGTTATGGGAACTCTCTGGAAGGTAACCAACTGCTTTTCTCTTGCTGCTTGTAAGATTCTCTCTTTATCTTTAACCTTTGGCGTTATAATTATGAAGTGTCTTGGTGTGGACCTCTTTGGGTCCAACTAGTTTTGGACTCTCTGTGCTTCCTAGGCCTGCATGTCTACTTCCTTCACCAAATTAGGGACGTTTTCTTTCATTATTTCTTTAAATAGATTTCCACTTTCTTGCTCTTCCTTTTTTCCTTCTGGCACCCCTATGATGCAAATATTGGATTGCTTGAAGTTGTCCCAGTGGATTGTTTTACTATGCTTGTCCTTTTGCGGGCTGGTGGCGGCGGGGGGGGGGGGGCCTCTTCTTCTTGTTCTGATTGGTTGTTTTTTTCTTCCTTATGTTCCAAATCATTTGATTTGATTCTCAGATTCATCCATTCTACTGTTGTTTCCCTGTAAATTGTTCTTTATTTCAATTAGTGCATCCTTCATTTCTGACTGGATCTTTTTTATGCTCTTGAGGTCCTCACTAAGTTCCTTGAGCATCCTTATAACTAGTGTTTTGAGCTCTACGTCTGATAGATTGCTTATATCAATTTTGTTTAATTCATTTTCTGGAGTTTTGATCTTTTCTTTCATTTGGGCCATGCTTCTTTGTCTCCTTGTTTTGGCTGCCTCCCTGTGTTTGTTTCTATATATTAGGTAGAGCCGTTATGCCTCCATGTCTTGGTAGCATGGCCTAATATAGTACGTGTCCTGTAGGGTCCAGTGGCACAGCCTCCCCTATCACCCAAGCTGGGTACTTGAGGTATACCCTTCCTGTGGGCTGAATACACCCTCTCCTTGTAGATGAGCCTTGATTGCTGTTGGCAGGTCAATGGGAAGGATTTACCCAGACCAGCCAGCTGCAAAACCACGAATGACCAACCTCCACCCCCTGTGGAGGATCAGCTCTACGGGGGCAGGGTGTTGGTTCTTGACATGGTCTGTAGCTGTCCACTGGGTGCGTAGGCTCTGGTTTCCTGGGTGGTGCAGGCCAAGGTCAGCCCTCACCTGTGTTCTGTCTGGGGCCACCCTGCATGAGTTACAAAGCAACCTGAGATGGCTGCTACTTGTACTGGGCTTGGAGAGTCCCAGGCAGAGCTAAGCTGTGAATCTAGGTGGGCTGCTGCGAGTGCCAGGCGTGGGGCCACTTAGCAAGAGGAACGGAACTGGGGGCTTACTGAGGCCAGCTGTTGCTCGTTTGATAGGATTTAGGAATTTATGAACGATGAGCCAAAACCAGACATTCATATGGAAAAGTTATGGTTAACAGTTTGGGTGGGCCTGTAAGTTGGGTGGAAGGGAGTCTCTGGATCTCCAGGGCTGGGCAAACAGTGTTAGCCAGGTTGATGGAGTCTCAAATATGGCACCTGCCTGCTAGCTCTGTGGCTCTGTGGCTCTGTGGAGGAAGGGTTCAAAAAAGGGACAGCGGCCTCTGCCCACCTTTCTGTCTGGGAGAAAGCTGTTCCCCAGCCCCTGGCTTGATGCCAGACACTTCAGTTCCTCCCTGCATGCCACTGCTGCTTTTCAAGCTGCTACCCTGGTGCTGGAGCTCAGAGGGGGTGAGTCTGAGTAAGTTCATGTGTGGGTTCTTTAATGGGAACTGCTTGGGACTCTACAAGTTTCTTCCACTGACTCAATCCCTGATGGTTTTTGCAGCCAGAAGTTACGGGGGCTTATCTTCCTGGCACTGGAACCCTGGGCTGGGGGACGTGGTATTGGTCTGGAACTCCTTACTCCCAAATTATCCCTCCTGAATTTTTATCCACCACACATGGATGTGGGACCAGCCTGCTCCGTGTCTTCACCCCTCCTACCAGTCTGGATGGATGTGGTTTCTTTAATTCTGTAGTTGTCAGACTTCCATTCAACTTGATTTCTGATGGTTCTGAGTGATTGTTCTGTAATTTAGTTGTAATTTTGATGTGGTGTGAGGAGGTGAGCCGTGTTTACCTATGCTGCCATCTTGACCAGAAGTTGTGGAATGTTCAAGCTTAACACAAAATTTGATATAGATTTGTTGCTCTACTCAATCATTTTGAATGAGATAGCTACACAGTACACATGCTCGCTCAGCAGCATCTACTGCCCCCACTGACTAGTACAGTGAAGTCATCGTTCACACATGTGCATTCCAGTCCACTCGCCTAGGCTGCCAGGTTACATTGATGTTATGCAAACTGTTCTCATATTAGCAATGGTTGGACTTTTCCCAGACAGACCTCGTATAGGGTTCAATAGTATTCAAGGTTTCAGGGATCTACTGGGGGTCTTGGAATGTATTCCTTGAGAATAAGGGGAGGACTGCTGTACTAAAAAGGCTCAACTAGTAATAGAACTTGAGAGGGGAGTTTCTTTTCTCGGCAACATTAGAGCAATGAACTCTTAACTGTCTATCAAATGCTAAAATAAAGTCCCTCTTTAAATTTGCCATTATAAAGAATTTCATTCAGTGTTCTACACAGAAAAATGGTATTTGGAAGCCTGAAGGAGAATCATGTCAACCCCTACTTTTCATGGCCCCTGAACATTCCCCAGGTCTCAGTTTGCCTTTCTCTTGCCTTCTGTGCACTGTTAGTATGAAACTCACATACAAAAATCAGTTGACCCTCGAACAACACGTGTTTGAACCATATGGGTCCATGTATGCATGAGGGGTTTTTTCCCCAGTAAATACATACAATACTGTAAGAAATGTTTTTCTTACGATTTTTTTTTAGATTTATTTATCTTCAGAGAGAGGGGAAGGGAGGGAGAAAGAGAGGCAGAGAAACATCATTGTGTGGTTGCCTCTTGAGCATCCCCCACCAAGGACCTGGCCTGCAACCCAGGCATGTGCCCTGACCAGGAACCGAACCAGCGACCCGTTGGTCTGCCAGCCAGCACTCAGTCCACTGAGCCACACCAGCCAGGGCAACAATTTTCTTAATAACATTTTCCTTTTCCTAGCTTACTTTATTGTAAGAATACAGCATACAATACGTATACAAAATTAGTGTTGACCCTTACCACTTAGCCTTTGATCAAAGTAGGCTATTGGTAGTTAAGTTTTCGGGGGAGCGTCAAAAGTGATATGCAGGTTTTTTTACTGTGTTGGGGTTGGCGTCATAACCCTCTTTGTGGAAGAAGATGGGATCTATTTAGAGAGGGTCTTACTCATCGGTAAGTCCATCTGAAAAAGTGCTGTAGAGACTGGATTCCAATCTGATTGAGGCTCATAATGTTAATGGATTTCGGAGTCAGAGGGACCTTGGAGGTAACTCCATTCAAGAATAAATTGAGGTTGCCCTGGCCAGGTAGCCCAGTTGCTTAGAGCATCCTCCCAATACACCAAGGTTATGGGTTTGAACTCTGGTCGGGGCACATACAAGAAACAATGAGTGCATGCATGAATAAGTGGAACAACAAATAGATGTTTCTTTCTCTCCCTCCTTCCTCCCACTAAAATCAGTAAATAAAATAAAAAGTTAAAAAAAAAAAATTTGCCCTAGCTGGCGTGGCTCAGTGGATTGAGTGGCAGCCTGTGAACTGAAAGGTCACTGGTTCAGCTGCCAGTCAGGGCACAGGCCCGGGTTGCAGGCCAGGTGCGCAGTTAGGGGTGTGCAGCGATTGCTGCCGTTTCTCCCACACATCAATGTTTCCCTTTCTCTTTCTCCCTCCTTTCCCCCCTCTCTAAAAGTAAATAAAAATAATTTTAATAAAAGAATAAATTGAGGTTCAGAAAGGTGAATGATTTACCCACATTTACCAGTTTATTGGTAGAATTTTATAGCCAGGAAGTGGTAACAGTGTGTGCAGAAGAAAAAGAAAATCGAGAGTTATCCTTTCTCTGCTGTTAATTTGTCTTGTGACCTTAGACAAGTCCATTCTCATGTTTAAAAAGATGTGTAGTAGCTGACCTCAGGGTTACCTTCCAGAATAAAAATTCCCTGGACTCTATCAAGTAGATGCTTAACAAGTGATTTTTTAAATTTTTTATGGATTGCATTGGGGCGGGGGGAGAGAAACATCAATTTGTTGTTCTAATTATTTATGTATCCATTGGTTGATTCTTATCTGTACCCTGATGGGGGATTGAACCCACAACCTTGGCGTATCTGGACGATGCTGTAACCAGCTGAGCTACCTGGCCAGGGCTTGTAACTGTTTTGAGGGTCCCCTTAATAAATGGTGTTAGTAATTTGGTTTTTATCTATAGGAAATGCTGTTACATTTTTAATATTTCCACTTAGCAGTGTTTTGCTTGATCTTCATGCTAAGGAATACTTTTTATGTAATTAATGTATTTTCTTTATTTCTGTTTTGTCTTACAGAGGGAAGGACTTTCGAAATTCAACAAGATCTATGAATTTGATTATCATCTGTATGGCCAGGTACATGCTACAGCATTTCCATCATACAACTGAAGCGTGATTTCACATCATGTACCATTTTGGTGTACATTCATTGGGTTTTTAATTATGGCTAAAAAGAGCTGTTTACTACAAGTCCTCCTTAAACTGCTTGTACTTTAGAATTATTTAATCAAGAAGAGTTAGCCAGCCTGGCCGTTGTAGAATATATCACTGTCTTTTAAGAATAACTGTTATGAACTAAAGATCCCTGGTTATAGGTGATCATTTTAGTAAAATATGGTGCCGTCTCAGCTCTTTGTAACAAGAAAGAAGCTGATATACAATAGTTTGAGGAAATTTAAAATGCTACAAAAATCATCATGGTCATAAAATTAGAATGGTGAATTATGTTTTATTACTATAGCTTTTGGCTTCAAAGAGCTGTATTTGTATTTGTTTCTTCCCAATCAGTTGGTTTTTGTTTTGTTTTGTTTTGTTTATAAACTTTTTTTTAGAGCAATTTTAGGTTCACGGCAACCTTGAGGGGAAGGTACAGAGAGTTCCCACATACCTTCTGCTCTCACACATGTGCACAGCTTCCCCGTTATCAACACCCCTCATCACAGTACATTTGTTACAATTAATGAACCACCCTTGAGACATTATCACCCGGAGTCCATAGTTGACATTGAGGTTCATTCCATATTGTAATGTTTGTGGGTTTGGACAAATGTATGTGTAAACATATCCATCATTTTAATATACAAAGTACTTTCACTGCCCTAAAAATCCTCTGTGTACCACCTGTTCATTCCTTCCCCTTGCCCTGCAACTCCTTTTTTTCTTTAGTAGAAGTTTCTCCCTCTTATTTGAATGATTTGGCAAAATATAGTTGCTAAAAGACTAACTCAAATTTTGTTATCATTTAGAATGTTACCATGATAATGACTTCGGTTTCTGGACATCTGCTGGCTCATGATTTCCAGATGCAGTTTCGCAAATGGTCAGTACAACTTTCAGATTGTTGCAGTAAGGTGTAAAATACTGCAGGAATTCTGAGGCAGATTGGCCTTGCTGTGTAACTTACAATACTGTGATGACTCTCCGAGTCAGTTCAGGCTGCTCTAATGAAATCCCACAGACTGGTTGGTTTGTGAACAACGACTTTACTTCTCCCAGTTCCGGAGGCTGGAAGTAGGAGATCCGAGTGCCAGCGCGGTCGGGTGAGGGCTTCTGGGGGCAGAGTGCGGGCCCTCCCTGTGTCCTTACTTGGTGGGAGGTCTAGGGAGCTTTGTGAGGTTTCTTTTATCACACTAGTCCCACTCGCAAGCCTCCACCCCCATGACCTAATCACCTTCCAAAGGCCCCGCCTTCTACACCAGCACATGGTGTTAGGATTTGAGCATATGAACTTGGGGGTCGGGGGGTGGGCAAACTATAGAGACCATAGCAATGACCTAGGATTAACTGACTTAGTGTGAATTTTTACCATAGGTTTATAATAAACAGCTACTTTTATTTGTGTCCCCCAGAACAGCCAGAACTTTTTCATGCAGTCATTGGATTACATGTATCCTGTTGCAGATATGTATGAAAGGGCACTAGAATTTCTTCTTAGCAGCTCAGAGGGTCAGAGTCTTGCTTTTAATGCTCTGGCATTTTCCCGTGGGACTGTCCCTGTGAGGGACGCACGTGTGAGGGCACTGGAGCTGATGCTCCTCGTTTAAGCAGAGGGCCTTCCATTTGCGCTTTTTGTGTTTTCACTTCTCTAGGCAGAGCTGCAATCCCCTTGTCCTCTTCGAAGCAGAAATTGAAAAGTATTGTCCAGAGAACTTTGTAGACATCAAGGTAGGCTCTTTTGGAAGCTATGTGGCCTTGGAGTTGAACGACCACAGAATAATTGAACTGAGTGACTTCTGGATTTTGAATGCATTGAAATTTAGAGATAAGATTTTCCCCAAACTAAGTACCATGACTTAAAAATCATTACCACTCATTTTATAAATGAGGCCATTTAAACCAAGTGGCCAAGGGACTGAGGTAAGCCTTTTTATGAGTTGGAGTTATTTCAACTCTAAGAATAAGTATTGTTAAATTACTAATTCTAGCTGCCACCCCATCTCTAGCTGGAATAGAAAGACCACACAGTAATTCCAATGGTCATTTGGGAGTTTTCACGCAGCCAGAGCACCTGTAGTTAGTTCAGTGGTTATTGGAAACCTTGGGAAACCATGGAACTCAATGAGAGGTTTATTTTTTTTTTAACTAGAACATAACCAGACCCACAAAAGTTATATGTGTGTGTTAGAGCTGAGTTTTAGGTCTCTCCGTGCTGGTATAGTTACATTCGACCCTCAGTCTTTTTGAAGCTCATGAATGGGTCTGTGATTCTAAGCTGGAGGATTGCACTAGTTGCTTCACCATCCCTCGAACTGGTAAGAATAGTTTCCTCTGGTTTCTTTTTCTCACTGAGTTGGCATATTTCAAGAACACCATGAATGTTCAGTCAGATCTGTTTAGTGTAGGGATGCAAAGTAATTGCTCTGTGGGCTGGGCTCTCACTGCGCGTTTCCCGTCCGGAACTTCAGAAAACTCTGGAACGAGAGACTCGGCAGTGTCAGGCCCTGGTGATCTGGACTGACTGTGACAGAGAAGGTGAAAATATCGGGTTTGAGATTATCCACGTATGCAAGGCTGGTAAGCGATGCCACTTCGAAGTTTCTGTGCCTTGGAACGCATAAATAGATGATCCCCCGCATGCACGGGCGAGGGGCTGTGCCTGAGTCCCTCCCCGTACGCTCTTCTCCTGAATCCTCCTGCCATTCTCACGGGCTGTGTGTCCGAGCGAGTCTCTGACCCCCTGGGCGCTTCTGCCTCCTCGTCTGGAAAGTCGCGCCAGTCTGCTGCAGCTTCTAGAGCAGTGTGAGGACTGAACGCGCCGCAAATGGCACACATCCTGAAGCTCGGAGCTTATCCTGTTAGCTCCAGGAGGGGGCCGGCTCCTTCAGAACACGGACTTACATTCTATTTTTTAAAATTATGTATTGAATATTTACAAAAGAATGTAAACTCCATATGTAAAGTATGAAGATTAATACTGGAATATTTCGTTTGGCCCTGGCTGGTGTGGCTCTGTTGGTTCGAGTATTGTCCTGTGCACTGAAAGGTCATGGGTTCAATTCCCAGTCAGGGCACGTGCCCAGGTTGTGGGCTTGATCCCGTCAGGATGCTTACAGGAGGCAACCAATCAATGTTTCTTCTTCTCTCTCTCTCTTTCTATCAAATCAGTAAATGTATCCTTAGGTGAGGTTTTTGGTTTTTTTTTTTAAGATTTTAATTTTTTTTTTAGAGAGGGGAAGGGAGGGAGAGAGGGAGAGAAACATCAATGTGGGGTTGCCCCTCATACGCCCCCTACTGGGGGCCTGGCCTACAACCCAGGCAGGTGCCCTGACTGGGAATCGAACTAGCGACCCCTTGATTCGTAGGCTGGCCCTTAATCCACTGAGTCACAACAGTCAGGGCAAGGATTTTTAAAAAAGTAGAATATTTCATTTCTTTCTTTGTTTTTACTTTCTTGTTCTGTTTTTTAAATTAAGTTTATTGTTAATGACGTAATTTTTAGGTGTGCAAGGTTCAATTTTTTAAGTCTGTATTAATTTATTTTTGAATTTTTATTTATTGACTTGAGAGAGAGAAGCATTGATTTATTGTTCCACCCATTTATGTACTCATTAATTGCCTCTTGTCCATCTGTGCCCTGATCAGGGATCAAACCCACTACGCTGGCGCACTGGGACTCCGTTCTAACCAACTGAGCTACCCAGCCAGGGCATTCTCATATGTTAATTTTACCTCCTAAACGTTAATAAATAATTGTTGAAGTGAACTGCAATGACGCTCACAGAGTTAACGATTTCAGATACCTTAGAGGAAGGGACGAGCAGGCCATCCTTGGGCTTCAAAGGCTGGGGGTGTTGCCGTTTGCCCCAAGCGTTCTTAATTTTGAAGCTATAGACTCTTGCGATTTGAATACATTACCTTTCAGGGACAGTGCATATGTCCTCTGTTACTTCCATGACAGGACATGAAATTCCCCCATAGGACCTTTAAATTAACATTTTTCTTTTCCCAAAAGATCTAAGAGAGCAAGAGAGATTAAAGTCTTGACAGGCTCACCCAGTGAATTTTAGTTGATCGCTAAGTTCAGTGCACTTTTTTCTCCGACAGCACTCAGCTTGGCAGTCGTATTGAAGTTTACCTCTAAGAGAGGCTATCGTTCACTTAGCCTAATCAGTAAAGTTAGCTACCTTGCGGCTTCTTGAACTGTTTACCTTTCATTCAAAGTTGTTTAAGAAAAGTGAGCCCTTGACGATGAGGGGCGATGTGACCTGACTTTGACCTCAGTGAGTCTCTGTTCCGCAGTGAAGCCCACTCTGCAGGTGCTGAGAGCCCGTTTCTCTGAGATCACCCCCCGAGCCATCAGGATGGCCTGTGAGAACCTGACCGAGCCCGACCAGAGGGTGAGCGACGCCGTGGACGTGAGGCAGGAGCTGGACCTCAGGATCGGTGAGGAGCCGGGCGGGCGCCTCTGCGGGCCCGCGTGGCCACCGGGCGTTGGGTTGTGGAACTCAGAGTGGGGTTGGAATGTAAACATATGCAGCTGGCCCTGGTTGGTCATTTTCTTGTGTTTCCCATCCTTCCTCACTTTCCAGGAGCTGCCTTCACTAGGTTCCAGACTTTGAGGCTTCAGAAGATCTTTCCCGAGGTATTGGCAGAGCAGCTGATCAGTTACGGCAGCTGCCAGTTCCCAACACTGGGGTTCGTGGTGGAGCGGTTCAAAGCCATTCAGGCTTTTGTGCCAGAAGTCTTCCACAGAATCAAAGGTAGGGCTGGGGGAGTTGTTTGTGACATGGAACCTCTTGTGCGAAGAGAGCCTCAGCATACTGTCAGTCTGGAGGACTGGCTGCGACAGACAGCGTTTCTGAGGACTGGAGCGCCCTGGTGGAGCCGACCCATGCGGTTGGACAGCCACCCAGCCTTTGCCAGTACACGGCTGGATGGAGGGCAGAGAGCAAAGCAAGCTGGCTGTGGGGGGCGGGGGGGCCGGGGCGTGCTCCTGCTCACAAGCAAGCTGTGTGAGACCAAAACTTGGCTGTTTCTCTGCACTTGTTTGTAGTCCAGGCTCGTGTCTGAGAACGGTTTCTGTTTGGCTGGTTTTTTTGTTTTTGTTTTTTAAGATTTTATTTATTTATTTTTAGAAAGAGGGGAGGGAGGGAGAAAGAGAGGGAGAGAAACATTGATGTGGGAGAGATGCATCGATCGGGTTGCCTCTCATGTGCCCCCAGCTGGGGACCTGGCCCACCACCCAGGCACGTGCCCTGAATCAGGATCGAACCGGCGACCTTCCAGTCCCACAGGCCGGCACTCAGTCCACTGAGCCACGCCAGCCAGGGCTGTTGGGCCACTTCTTGACCAAGGAGCTGGCCGGGCCCCCGAGGCTGGTCCCACAGTTACTTCCTGATGGCCTCCTCGTACTCCCACAGGGTGGGAGGGGCAGTGGGAGCTGGGAGGGGGCCTGTGTTCCCACTCGCCACGCAGAGCCTCAGGGCCCCGGCGTGACCACCGGACCGCGGGCCGGCAGGGGCGCCCTCTGCCGCACCCCATTTCAGTGCTCAGGACCCGCTTCGGGTCTCCCAGGGACCTCTGTTTCCTATCCCTTTGACTGTTGCTGTGGCGCCCCTGTTGCGATCAGTCGTGTCACGTGGCTCTGTGGCACAGCCTTCCTGTTTGTGTTTCCCCAACAGTGACTCATGACCACAGAGAGGGCACCGTGGAATTCAGCTGGAAAAGGCACCGCCTCTTCAACCACACGGCATGTCTCGTCCTCTACCATCTGTGCATGGAGGTGGGAGACGTTCGAAGCCTTGCTGACCCGGGCGGCTGGCCTGCAGTTTCCTGGGCCACTCTCTGTGCGGGTGGGAGTGGGCCTGTCCCGTTCTGCCACGGAGCTGTCGCTTTCTCAGTCTGCATCTCAGGAGATCGCTTTTTGGGGACCAGTGAAGAGTAGGACCCCATGAAAACAGCACTAAAAAATAGGGAAGAAAAGGATCTGCGGAACTTTTAAGTAAAATCAAAATTCTAGGAAATACATAGGTGAAATTTTTCCCTGAAACAGAATACTGTCGTTAGCAATTAATAAGGATCCGCTGTCCAATAGGCCAGAGTGGCAGCTCTGATCCCCAGTCACAGCGCATACAGGAAGCAGCCAGTGAGTGCATGGATAGGGGGGACGATGAGTTGGTGTTTTCTCTCCCCCCCAGCCCCGCCCTCAAAATCAATTAATTTAAAAAAACGGGATCAGGCAGACCAGCCTAGGTCATAGACTCCTGGGGCTGGAAGGAGGTCTCTCTGTCATTGGTCAAATGCAGTCTGAAGAGATGGAAGTTACAAACGAATGAACAAGTTAATTCTATACAACGACAAATGACTGGGGGAACAGGAAGGGGACTGTTCTAGGCACAGTGGTCATGAAAGACATGTCAGGGTGGACATTTGAGTGAAGGCCAGAGTGATTGGCAGGAGGCAGCAACAGGAGGACCTTGGGAAAGCGTGTGTCAGTAAAGAGAGCGTCACATGCAAAAGGCCACGACCCACTCAGGCCAAGGCCAGCCAGTAGCCCAGTTGGATCCCTCAGACCGATGGTCCCCTTTGCGATGCTGCTTCCTGTCGGCACGTGACTACCTGTATCAGCCCAGCGGCCGCCCACAGTGGTGCCTGAGTAAAACTCGGAGCTCCCTAGGTTGCATGAGTCAGCTGTGCTTCTCGGCTGTAGCACATGGGAAGGTTTAGTATTGATTTGCTACGGAGGGAGATGACGGTTGAGCCCCTACTCTGTGCCGGGCACACCGTATGTTTACATGGAGTTCTCTTTAGTCCTGGTAGTGCCTGTGCAGGTGCGGTCGCCCTCCCCATGTTACAGGTGAGGAAGCTGGACCCAGTGAAGGGACTGCTCAGACACATGGGAGCTGGTGACGGGCTGAGCACGGACGGACCCTCAGCGCGTCTGACTCCAGCTCCCCAGGCCGCGCCGCCCCCCGGGGTCTCCCTGTGTGCCCGCTGCTTCACCCTGGGCCCTGAAAGCCGCTCAGCCACCCGCCCTTTATCTGTTCAGTAGAAAAGGCCTGCCCTGTTCCGTGCTTTACTGGGATACGGTGCCAAAAAAAGCAGGTGGGCTACCTGGAGCTCCTCAAGAGCACTTGCTCCCAGTCTATTTGGAAAGAGAAATTGGGATTTTGATATACAAATATTCTCATCAACAAATCACTTAAGCTGAGTGCTTTATTTGAAGTCTCTTAAAAGTGTGAAGTTGGTCTTAAGATTAGAGTTCTTCAGGTTGTACTATGTAATTTCTCCTATTTCTAACTCTGTATTATTAAGAATTAAAAAGAAGAAGTAACACTCTGCGCGTGAGATAGGAAACTACTCAGGTGATGCACAGGCTGTGGTATTTCGCAGGCTCCAGAGGAGGCTTAGGAGATCGCCCCTTGGAGTCCTGGCTTGAGTGGGAAGGGGCGCCGGTGTCCGCCACACGGTGCGCTGCAGGCCAGCGTTAGTGGAGGCTTGCCCAGGACGGCGCAGGGGCCTCTGCGGAAGGCGACTGCGACCCCGAGGAGGAGGGGCTGGAGCCGGGAAGCTGGAAGAGATACCGCAGCCCGTTAGAAGGACCTCTGCTTTTCTTGGCTTTCTAGGATCCCACGGCAACCGTGGTGGAGGTCAGTTCTAAGGCAAAGAGCAAGTGGAGGCCTCAAGCTTTGGACACTGTGGTATGTTCTGGAGGGATCACGCCAGCCCCAACTTCCTGTTTTTGGACCAGGGTTCTGGTGCAGACAACGGCCCAGTGACATCGCTCCTCAAAGGGCCGCACAGGAAAGCACCTGGAAAAAACAAACTCCAAACCATGGTCCTGCTAGGCCTCGGTGCCTTTTTAAAAATTAAGTTATTAGTGCAGTACAACTGCTGTACGTGGGGTTTGAGAAGCAAAAAAGAGGAAGAGAAATCACTCATCACCCCATTCTTGTATAATCACTGATGAAACCTTGATGTCTTCTCTTCCTGTTTTTCTCATGTACTTATTTTTTATGGAGTTGAAATTGGAATAGTTTGTATTTTGCGGCCAGGTATTTTTCTTTTAATATTTCTACACAATCTGTGTAAACATTGAAATACCTGCCTTAGGAGCCGATCCTGGAATAGGACTTCTCAAACTTTTTGACCCTGAGAAGAGCCACCCCATGGGGCACAGGCTCTGTAAAGTGCGTTCGGTGCCCCTTCCTCGGCAGCACTTTGCAGGAAAACTCAGAGTGCGACTCCTGCCGAGGCTAACGCTGGAGGCTGAATGCGCAGCACGGGAGACAGAAACATGCAGGACTAGTGGGCAATGCAGCCTCTGTCTCAGACGCGACACTGTGTGCGCGCGCTCACTGGGGGATAACGGGGGGGTTAGGGGTTGATCTCACGTAGTAGGCCTAGGAGTGTTTATTCCTCACTGGCTGAATATGCTTTGACACGTAGCCAATCGTTGGGACGTCACCAAGTAGAAAGGACAGGTGATTATCTCCCAGGAGGCCTGGAAGGATGGCATTGAACATTCAGGGGGATTTACTGGGTCTCTTGACGGCACCCCAAAGGGTGGTTCTCAGACTGCCTGGGTTAGTGTCGGTGCGTCAGATGCGTGGTAAAACGCAGACTTTCCCTGCCCTCCTGTCAGAGTCCCGAGCGCTCAGGGCCCGGGAACCTGCTTGCCTCAGGCGAGGCTTGCTTCTGCACACCGGGGTCTGAGAGGCGCTGCAGCAGGGTCTGGCCCTGCCTGGCGGGCCCAGGGCCCTCCCTCCGCAGCCCTCTCCCTCTGCGTGACAGGCAGCAGCAGGGGAGCCGGGGGCTGGGCGGGCTGGAGGTGAGTTGCGTGGCTGTGTCGTGCCCTCTGACTCACTCACGACACCTTCATGTGCCTGTTGATACATTTAACAGGAGCTTGAGAAGCTGGCTTCTCGAAAGTTGAGAATAAATGCTAAAGAAACCATGAGGATTGCCGAAAAGCTCTACACTCAAGGGTAAATATTCCACATGGGGAAACAGAATTTGATGCGTGAAATAGTTTAGAAATGGTGCTGATGGGGAAACACAAACTGTCTAGATGTTACTTAAGCTCTGAAGTACACGAATTTTGACACTGATTTCTCTTTTCTGATCATGGAAAAGTCATTTCACAATCTTTTCTAAAACAAGGGCCTGTAGAGTAAATCCAGATCCTAGCCTCCGTCCCTCAGCAACTCCCCCCGGGGCCCGGGCAGGTGGCCAGTAGCACCTTTGGGAGCTGTTCGCCTGTTGTACGTCTGTGCTGCCTCCAGGGTCCTGAGCAGCCCAGCGCCACCCAGCGACAGTGGGGTCCTCACAGGCCGGTGCGGCAGCCGCAGGCTCCAGCTGACTGTTGAGTGCTTGAAGTCTGGGTTGTCTGAATTGGGATGTGCTTAAGTGTGAAATGAATACTGGGTTTTGAAGATGTGTATGAAAAAAAGAATGCAAACAATCTCAATAATGTTTAGGTGGCTAACAAAGTTTTTAATTGCATATACGGTCCCCGTTATAGTTTGCTGGGAGGCACTGTGGTTTCTGTACTTGCAGAGAAGTAGTAGAGCCCTGCTGGCGTGGCTCAGCGGGCCGAGCGCCAGCCTGCAAACAGAAAGGTCACCAGTCCAGTTCCTGCTCAGGGCACCTTCCTGGGTTGCAGTCCAGATCCCCAGTTGGGGGCGTGTGAGAGGCAACCTGTCGATGTTTCTCTTCCTCGTTTTCTCCCCCTTCTCCTCTGTCTCAAAACAAACAAAATAAATAAATAATAAAGCTGGCAGAAGCACAACGCTGTTGCAGTCAGGGCCACATGGTGGCTCTTGTCAGACTGTCACTAGAGAGGGCCAGGGACGCGCCCCAGCCACACAGCCGCTGGCTGAGCTGTGGCGAGTGTGCCCTATGCCGTGCCATCTGTCGTTTGTCCTTTGGCTTCTCTGCGGACCCTCGCAGGGAGCCTGCTGCTGCGCACCTCGTGGCAGTGGGCGCGGGGGAGCATCTCGGAACTTGGCTCAGCGCAGGTAACTGAGGTCGCCTGCCTTTGACTTGGCTGGATCAGATGGATGATTGCAGGTGTCGCAAGGTGTTTTCAATCTAACCCAGTTGTTTACGGACCACTTTCTTGCTCTGCTTGTTTGCCTTCGTTTTAGGTACATCAGCTATCCCCGAACGGAAACAAACATTTTCCCCAAAGACTTAAACCTGACAGCACTGGTGGAGCAGCAGACCCCGGACCCGCGCTGGGGGTCCTTTGCCCAGAGCATCCTAGAGCGGGGTGGCCCCACCCCACGCAACGGGAACAAGTCTGACCAAGCTCACCCGCCCATCCACCCCACGAAATATGCCAGCAGCTTGCAGGTGGGCTTCCCTAGCGCGGCGCTGCGCTGACTGCAGCCTCGAGGGAGGCGCGGGGGTGGCGCGGGGGTGGAGCATGCTCTGCGGGCTCTCATTGCAGGCGCGCAGTGATTTTCAGGTAACTGCTCCGCTTCTGAAAAGGGCTGTCACTGCCACAATTCTAGGTCACAGCTCTGCCTGGGTCCCCGGGAGACCCCATGGTGGGTGCTGCTCTCCAGCCAGCCCCACCCCGGCCCCCACTCACAGCCCCCTCCGCTGTCCGAGGGTCCCTTCGCCCCACCCGCTCGCAGAGCCGCCCGGCCCTGTCGTCCCCTCGTCAGCGGGAAGGGCCCTGCTCACCCCCCGAAGACGGTCTCCACCGCCTTCCCAGCACCTCTGCCGCCCTGTCCTCTGTCACGCCCTGGTCACAGCGGCACCCTCCCACTTAGCATTTCCTCACCCCCTTTTAGTAACAAAATTCTTTCTGATTTTAAAGGTAATGCATGTTCATTTTTGACAATTCAGAAAATGATTGTAAAGAAAATTGCATTTAATTTGGCCTCCTACTGAGAACCACCTTTTTTCTATGCATATATATATAATATTCTTACATTAAAATTATAATCTTAGTTTCATAGACTACATTTTTCATTCTGTTTTCCCATATGCTGAAACACTTCTTTTTAAAAAATATATAATATAGAAATATATATTTTATTGATTATGCTGTTACAGTTGTCCCATTTTTCCCTCCCCTTTATTCCCCTCTGCCTTGTACCCCCCTCCCCCCGTTCCCACCCTCCCTGTCCCCTCCCCACCGAGGATCCCCCCCAACCTTAGTTCATGTCCATGCGTCGTACATATGAGTCCTTTGGCTTCTCCATTCCCTATACTGTTTTTAACCTCCCCCTGTCTATTTTGTACCTACTATTTATGCTGCTTATTCCCTGTGCCTTTTCCCCCATTCTCCCCCATCCCTGTCCCCTCTGATCTCCATTTCTGTGATTCTGTTCCTGTTCTAGTTGTTTGCATATTTTTTGTTGTTTGTTTCTAGGTTCAGTTGTTGATAGTTGTAAGTTTGTTGTCATTTTACTGTTCATAGTTTTTGGTCTTCTTTTTCTTAGATAAGTCCCTTTCACATTTCATATAATAAGGGCTTGGTGAGGATGAACTTCTTGAACTTGACCTTATCTGGGAAGCACTTTATCTTCTCTTCCATTCCAAGTGATGGCTTTCCTGGATAGAGGAATCTTGGATGTAGATCCTTGCCTTTCATGACTTGAATACTTCTTTCCAGCCCCTTCTTGCCTGTAAGGTTTCTTCTGAGAAATCAGCTGATAGTCTTATGGGAACTCCTTTGTAAGTAACTGTCTCCCCTTCTCTTGCTGCTTTTAAGATTCTCTCCTTATCTTTTATCTTGAGGAATGTAATTAAGATGTGCCCTGGTGTGTGCTTCCTTGGATCCAAGTTCTTTGGGACTCTCTGAGCTTCCAGGATCTCCTGGAAGTCTCTTTTTTTGGCCAGATTGGGGAAGTTCTCCATTTTTTTTTCAAGTAAGTTTTCAATTTCTTGCTCTTCCTCTGCTCCTTCTGGCACCACTATGATGCGGGTGTTGGAACGTTTAAAGTTGTCCTAGGGTCTCCTAAGCCTCTCAATTTTTTTAAATTCTTGTTTCTTCATTCTGTTCTGGTTGAATGTTTATCTCTTCCTTCTCCAAATTGTTGATTTGAGTCCTGGTTTCCTTCCCTTCACTGTTGGTTCCCTGTATATTTTTCTTTATTTCACTTTGCATAGCCTTCACTTTTTCTTCCATTTTATGACCATACTCAATCAATTAAGTGAGCTTCCAGGTTACCAGTGTTTTGAACTGTGCACCTGCTAGGTTGGCTATCTGTTCATCGCTTAGTTTTATTTTTGGAGCTTTGGTCTGTCCTTTCATTGGGGCCATATTTCCTTGTCTTAGTGAGCCTGTTACGTTAGAAGGGGTGGAGCCTTAGGTGTTCACCAGGGCGGGGCAACCCAGCTCACTGCCTCCTGATGCTGTGTGGGGGAGGGGCCTGAGAGGGAACAATGCTGCTTGTTCAGCTCTTGTCCAGCGTTCAGTCACTTCCCCCTCTACACACAAGCAAATTGTACCCTTCTGGTGCTGATTTCCAGGTGGGTGAGTTTGTGTGCATTCTAGGACCCCATGGGCCTCTCCAATGGACTCTCCTGTGAGGCTGGGAGTTTCTCCCGCTGCCGCAACCCCCACACATTTTTACAGCCAGAAGTTTTGAGGCTTTGTCTCCCGGCACTGGGACCCTGGACTGCACTGTCTGTCTCACTCCCTAGCTGTTCCTCCTGGTTTATCCCACGCAAGTGAGGGACCACCTCGTCCTCCAGCCGCCACCTTGCCACACACCCTCTCTACGCCTCCTACCCGTTTGGATGAATGTTTCTTCTTTAGCTCCTTGGTTGTTGGACTTCTGTAGAGTTCAGTATTCTGACATTTCTGGTTATTTTTTATTTTTAAATTTGTTGTCCTTTTATTTCTGCAAGGAGGCAAAGTGTGTCACAAAATGCTTTAAAGTACATTTAAGGATTATATAGATGTACCTTAATTGATTTTGCCAAATCTGTTTTTGAAGAATTGTTTCCTTTTTGATATGCAATATACTAAAATTTGTATACATGAATATTAGTGTGGATCTTTCACATTCTTAGAGAAGTAATGGATATGAGTGTGAATGTCTTATGGGCTTTTGGTAGATTGAGTCTCACCAACTGCTTGATTACTGAATTGACGGAAAGTCGCCATGACCCCGGTGTTCATGAAGTTGGTCTAAGGCAGCTGGATGAGTATTTACTGTATATCTCTTATGTACAACGGTATCTTGTTAACTTCTTATGTTTTCACCTTGTTTTCTGTTTAGGTTGGGTTTATGTCAAAAGAATCACTTCTCAGCCCTGGCCCAGTGGTTCAGTTGGTTGGAGTGGGGTCCTGTAGACCAAAACGTTACAGGTTTGATCCCTGGTCAGGGCACACACCTAGGATGTGGGTTTGATCCCCAGTTGGGGCACATACAGGACATACCAATGTCTCCCTCCACCGCCCCCCCCCCCCGCACCGTTTTTCTATCTATAAAATCAATGAATATATCCTTGGGTAAGGATTGTAAAAAATTAAAAAATAACTAAATAAAAAGAATCTCTCCCCAGTCTGGAGGGCAACACGAGTCCCTTGCTTATCTGTACCCGACGAGAGCTGTGCAGCTCACCAGCCTGGGCCCAGAAGCGCGCGGCGCAGTTTGCCTGGCACGACGTGTCAGTGCCGTGTCAGTGCCGGCGCTCCGGCAGTGGTGCGCCTTGTTCTGCAAGGACTTTGGCCTGAAAGGCGGCCTGGACCGGGTGAAACTACCAGTGATGCTGAGACCCTTGAGCGCTGTTATTCTGCAGGAGTTGCAGGCTTGCTTTTCTTCACAGGGAGATGAACAGCGACTGTACGAGTTCATCGTTCGCCATTTCCTAGCTTGCTGCTCCCAGGATGCCCAGGGGCAGGAGACTACTGTGGAGATTGACATTGCTCAGGAGCGCTTTGTGGCCCATGGTCTCATGATTCTGGCTCGAAACTATCTGGATGTGTACCCATATGATCGCTGGAGTGACAAGGTGATAAATCACAAGTTCAGTCAGAGGTCGGAATCTGTGTCTCCCCCGCCCCCGGGCCTCAGAGAGGAAGGGACGACCCGAGGGCAGGGTGTGTTGTATGAGCTGCAAGTTGTCTTTTGCACGAGTGGCAAAAGCAATTTGACTCCCTGCGTCTGCTGCTCTCTCTAGACCCTCCCTGTCTATGAGAGAGGCTCCCGCTTCCAGCCCAGCACCGTGCAGATGGTGGACGGGGAGACCAGCCCCCCTCAGCTGCTCACCGAAGCTGACCTCATTGCCCTCATGGAAAAGCACGGCATTGGTCAGTAGCTCATTGTCCTGGTAACCAGCGGCTCTGGAGCACGGTGACTCTCATGTGGGTGTGAATTCTGGACCCTGCTTTATAGCCGAAGTGAGGCTTGGAGAAGTTAAGAACTTAACCTAAGGTCACAAAGTGTGTGAGTTATTAAAACAGGTCCAAATAACTCTGCAGTCAGTGCTCTGCACCATCTGTAAGTAGGCACCTCAGAGCTACTGGGGGTTTGGTTCCAGACCACCGTCGCGAAGGGAGTCACACGAGCACATGTGAAAGTCAGGTTTACACTGTACTGTAGTCTGTTAAGTGTGCGGTAACATTATGTCCTAAAAAAAAAATGGATGTAGTTTTTTTAAGATTTTACTTTTAGAGACAGGAACAGAGGGAGAAAAAGAGGGAGAAACATCGATATGTGAAAGACATCTATCAGTTGCCTCTCTCACATCCCCACCTGAGGGCCTGGCCTGCAACCCAGGCATATGCCCTGACTGGGAATTGAACTGGTGACCTTTTGGTTCTCAGGCTGGTGCTCAGTCCACTGAGCCACATCAGCCAGGGCTATACTTTAATTTTAGAATGCTTTATTGCTAAAAAATGCTAACCATCATCTGAGACTCTGGAGAGCTACCATGTTTTTACTGATGGAGGGTCTTGTCTCAGTGCTGCTATAAACACAGTATCTGTAAGGGGCAATAAAATGAGGGATGCTGGGAAGAGACATTTGCCATAACTGGTAGGTCTCAGCTGGGAGCAGGGGCCACCCACAGCCTCAGTATTTTTGGCCCATGTTGGGATTTGTATGTTTGTTTGTTTGTATAAAGTACCAACATGTAAAACTTAGGAAATTCCATGTAAAAACCTGTCCCTTCCGCCTTTTGGATTATCAGGAGGTCTGGCAGCCAAAGCCTCCGCTCTCACATGGACGGGGTAGAGTTGAGCGGCAGCCCCTCCGCTAGCTGTCACCGCCTAGCACGCACAGTGGGCTTCCCTCCCCTCGCTACGTGCCGGGACCCAGGAGGCCTCAGGCTGCCAGCCTGCTGTTAGCCGTGGGAGGGCCACACACTTAGGGTTTTGGTAAAGCCTTTCCCATAATTAGGAATCAGAAAGTAGGTTTATATGATGGCAGGTGGGTGCTAGATTTATCAGGATGCTCGTTTCATGAGTTACATAAGTGTTTAATCACTGGGTAGTACACCTGAAACTAATGTAATATCGTACAGCAACTATAATTGAAAAATAAAAAATACCTTTTTAAAAAAGAGAAAACAGGTTTAAAAATAAAAGCTAGGCCAGAATGGTTCTTTCCACTAAGTCCTGTAGCCTGCCCACGGCCCTGATCCGTTGCCTCCACCGCTCTGAGGAGGCCCGTCTCTGGGAGCCTCCCCCGAAGGGCCAGCGCACACCGGAGAGGGACGGGAAGGCGGGGTGAGCTCCTGGGCGCGCCAGGAAAGCAAGCCGTTGCCTCTGGGGTGCAGCTGCCGCTCTGTGAGTTTGGTAGCTCTGTGGCTCAGGAAGACGTGCCACTGGAGTCCACTGGCCTGCACTGGACTATCCAGGGCCCATACATTTAGGTAAAATTTGATTTATTCTTTAAAAACGCGAGGCCCGCCCTGACTGGGGTGGCTCAGTGGGCTGAGCATCATCCCGCCGGCCAGAAGGTTGCCGGTGGGTTGATTCCAGGTCAAGGCACAGGCCTGGGTTACGGGTCAGGTTCCCAACTACGGGCATGTGAGAGGCAACTGATCGATGTTTCTCTTACACATCAGTGTTTCTCAGCCTCTCTGCCTCCTTTTCCCTCTCTCTAAAAATAAATAAATAAAAGCTTTGGGCAGGGAATGTAAGTCCTAGGCCCTGGGTACACAATGAGGAGTGCGGCCTTGTCCTTCCCTTCAAGGCTCGTCTCGCAGGAGAAGCTGACCAGACCAACACATCAGATGCCACGTGATGTGTTCTGCAGGGACCTTAAAACCTCACAGTGAGAATTCCCGATGAACAAAGGCAAGCCTGGCAATGCAGCAAGGACGCAGACAGGAAAGCCTGTGCTCCGGTCGGGGGTCCCAGAAATGAGGCCAGAGAGGCGATCTGAACCGTGTTGAGCCAAGCAAAGAGCTTGATCAGCACAGAGCCATCAAAGATTTCTAAGGAAAGAATCGACATAGATCTGTTTTTTTAAAATGTTAATAGCTTTATTAGGACATAATTCTCACATATAATTCAGTGATTTAATTCAGTGCTTAGTATACAAGGCCTGTCCAGAAAGTATCCTGCGACGTAGTATGACATAGATGTTTACTGAAGAAGACACAAGAAACATTGTACGTAGGCCAATAACACATCAGTCCCCTTCAAAGTAGGCATCTTGGGACCTCATGCAGATTTCCCAGCATCTGTTCCACTGGTCAAAACACTGCAAAATATTTTGTTGGAATCCTGGTCTGCTGCCCCATCATCTTTTCCTGAAGTTCATCGATGGTCTGAAATCTCTTCCCTTTCAAAGGTGATTTTAGTCTTGGGAAAAGCCAGAAGTTGCAGGGAACCAAATCTGGGCTGTAGTGGGCCGAGTCCCCTGGGTGATTTGATGTTTTCCCAAAAAGCTCTGCATGAGTTGTGATGCATGAGCAGGTGTGTTGTCATGATGAGGCTGTCGGTCACCAGCTGCCTGTGGCTGCGGCGGTGTCTCAGCCGACGAGGAACATTGAGGTAGTTACTCCTTGTTAAGTGGCCTGGAGGGGTGCACTTGTGATGGACACCTTCCCAATCAAATGGTCTTGATCCCAGTTCACATGGTCTTGATCCTGCTGTGACTTTGCTGCGCTTTCTTCGCATGTGGAGAACCAGGCGACTTCCATTGGGACGACTGGGCCTTTGTTTCCGAATCATAGCTGTAGGCCCACGATTTATCTCTAGTTGTAACCTTCCTGCGGAAATCTGGTTCATTGGTAGTGGCTTGGATCAGGTCGTTAGCAGCCACAGCACAATGTTCCTTCTGCTCTGGTATCAGAAGCCGCGGAACAAATTTTGATACAACAGGTTTCGTGCCAAGATCCTGCATCAAAATCTCGGACACATAGTTTCTGGAATCCCCAGGTCAGCTCCTAGTTCTTGCTCTGTCAGTCTCCAGTCTTTGTTGACTGCAGCCTGTGCACGTTACAGCCCCAGGTGTTCTGCTTGTTGCAGGCCTCCCAGAATGTGGGTTGCTTTCAGTGGGTTTTTGACCATTTTGAAGCATTTGCGCCACACTTGTGTTTGTGCTGCACTCATTGCATCGTCCCCAGAGCCTTCTGAATCATCTGAACAGTTTCTGTGAAGTTCAAGCTGAACACAAAATGGGATGCAGATTCGTCGTTCTGCTCGCTCAGTCATTTGGAATGTGACAGCCACACAGTGCACATGCTCACTGAACAGCATCTGCTGCACTCACTGACTAACACAGTGAAGTCATTGTTCACGCATGCGCGTTCCAGTCCACTCTCCCTGGCTGCCGGGTGACGTCAGTGTCGCGCAAACCGATCTCATTGTATTAACCATGGCTGCATTTTTTCCAGACAAAATTATGCAGCAGTCACTGCAAATCGGACTTTTTCATTACCTCAGAAGGAAACTCCATACCCAGTCACTCCCCATTTCCCCTTCTCTCCCATTTCCCCAGCCCTAGGCAACCACTGATCTTTCTGACTCGATAGTTTTGCCTCTTTTAGACGTTTCCTATAAAGGGAATTAAGCAGGATGTGGCCTTTGGTAACTTGCTTCTTTCACTTGGATGTTTTCAAGGTTCATCCATGTTGAGCATGTATCAGCACTTGGTTCCTTTTTATTACTAGATACTTTTCTGCATTTTTTCAGTGGCTGGACTTCTAGGTTTCCGTTTTGTGGCTCTTACGCATGCTGCAGTGGACATTTATGTACATGTTCTTGTGCAGACATTTTTTTGGCTCTCTGGAGTGTACAGCCTAGGAGCTGAATTGCTGGGTCACGTGGTGACTCTACTCAGCCTTTTGAGGAACCCGCGAAGTGTTCCTGGCGGCTGCACCGTGTTACATCCCTCCAGCCCTGTGTGAGGGTCCCGGTTTCTTCATGTCCTCGCCAGCACTTGCTGGTGTCTGTGCTTTTCGTTACACTGATCCAAGTGTGCGTGAGGTGATGTTTCTTTGTGGGTTTGGTTTGCATTTCCCTGATGGCAGAGCTATGTTTTAAAAGGTCCCTTTGGCCACAGTATGAAGAATGGGGTGGGTGGTAGAGGAAGAGATCAGAAACCAGGAGACTGAGGGTGTAATGGTGTAGATGGGTTGATGTAGGCTCTGGCTGTAGCTCTGACACATGGAGTTGAGGAGAAAGACTTAGAACTTCAAAGCTGGCGTTGATAGCTTTAGTGAGTTAGCATATGTGAGGGAGCGATGAGGTGGCTATTGTGGTTTCTGTATGAGCCAGATGGGAACAGAAGTATCTTACCAAGAACAGGAAACCCAGGCAGGGGAAGGGGGTCCGGATTAACCTGGGTAACCTGGATGGCTTTCAGGCACTGATGCTACGCACGCGGAGCACATCGAGACGATCAAAGCCCGGATGTACGTCGGGCTCACCCCGGACAAGAGATTTCTCCCTGGGCACCTGGGCATGGGACTTGTGGAAGGTAAGGAGGGTGGAGCTTGCAGTGAGTAGTCGGGGGAGGCCGCGCCCCCAAAGCTCCTAAGTCGTGTTTTGTGGGTGGCACAGAACACTGCCCTTCCCCCGCAGGGTATGACGCCATGGGCTACGAGATGTCCAAGCCTGACCTCCGGGCTGAGCTGGAAGCCGACTTGAAGCTCATCTGTGAGGGGAAGAAGGATAAGTTTGTGGTTCTAAGGCAGCAAGTCCAGAAATACAAGCAGGTCTTCATTGAAGCCGTGGCTAAAGCTAAGAAGTGAGTGTGCAGCCCCGCCCCGATCACGTGGGTGGTCAGTCTGTGGCCTTGGCCCAGACGTTTCCCTGAGAAGTGCGAGTTCTTGAGGTGATTCAGCAAAAACCAGGTGCTCTCCTGACCCTGCCCTCCAGGTTGTTAGATGTCCCCCACCCCCACCCCAGCCAGGTACCTTAACCAATGGCCTTGTCACCCAGCTCCTCCCCTTCAGGCTTCCCCCTGGGCTTTGTTTGTTCCTTTCCACAGAGCTCTGTCAGTACAGAAACAGTCATGGAAAGACCTGGTCCAGTTATTCTGGGCTGTTGGCTTTAGAAATGCCATTCTCTTGATTTTAATAAGCACAATCATGTATCAGTAAATCCAAGTGCTGTGTGTGACCCGTTTGTTCTCTGGAGTGTTTAGAATGGCCATTTAGCCAGCAGCATGTGTACATTTTGTTAGAAATGTTTCCTACCCCATGCCAGTTTTGAAAAATGCATGAGCTAGTTCAAACTTACACCCAGACGGGCCCCTCCGGAGTGTGTGCACGGACCCTGTGCAGCTACATCGGGTGTGAGGCACTGACGAGGCGGAAGTGCCTGCCCTGCCGCTGGGTCCGCCGGGAGCCGCCAGCAGTCACAGGAGCCGGGCTGCTCAGCCAGCGCAGCTCTGTCGGCCTCCGTCCTTTGCATCGGACCTGGGGGACCAGCCACCTGCTTCCCCAGGTCACCTACACATTGTATGCACATAAGGACATTTGCACATGCTTTGCTGTTTTTTTCAGATTGGACGAGGCTTTGTCCCAGTACTTTGGGGAAGGGGCAGAGGTGGCCCAGCAAGAAGCCATCTACCCGGTTACGCCAGAACCTGTCAGGAAGTGTCCGCAGTGCGGCAAGGACATGGTCCTCAAGACCAAGAAGAGTGGCGGGTCAGTGCCCAGCTTTGCACCCCTCCCCCCGCCCCCCGGGCTCGGTCTAGGCCCCGCCATTTCATTAGTGCCGTCACCTAAAGGCAGCCTGCCCCCGCCAGCCTGCAGGCGCGGTGCTGGAGGTAGAGCGGTGGCTGGCGGGGAGCCGGCGTGCAGTGCTGTGGGGCTCAGAGTGGGCGGGGGCTGAGTGGTGGCAGTGCCTGTGCCCTCCATGGATAATAGCGCTGACCTCATCCCGTGGGTAGAGAATCAGGGAGAGGCATGAGCTTCAGCCCCAGGGCGTCTGGGTTCTTACAAGCTTTAGGGTTACAAGCCCTAAAGCAGGTTACTTAACTATTCTGAGCCTCGATTTTCTCTCCCATAAACTCAGGTCAGTGATGTCTGGTCCACCTCACAAAGTCAGGGGAAGGGTGAGAATGCAGTGGAAAGCGTCTAGCACAGAGCCCAATATGTTAGAGATACTCAGCAACATTGATGCGCTTCTCCTGGTTTTGGCCCTGAATTGGGTCTGAACAGCTTCAGTCCCTCTTCATTTCCAGTGCATTCCTTTAAAGTGGGCAGGTCACCCCAAGATTAGGCTGCCCGGCCTGGCCTTGCTGTCCACGCCAACACCCTAGTGCCAGGGGAGGTTCATGGCAGGAGTGGCAGACATGGTGGCAGCCATCTTTTATCACATGCCTTCCCTGTGGCTGGTGTGATGCAAGGTGCTCCACAGATACTGTCTTACTCGACCCTGTAACTACCCCACAGGGCAGGCGTTTTGACTCCAGCTTTCTGAGGATCGATGCCCAAGGCTTAGGCTGAGGGGGCTCGCCTATGGCGGGCAGTCCCGGGGAGCGGGAAGGGCCGAGTGCGAACGCCAGCCACCACAGCCCTTCGCCATTCTGCCGGCGCCTCTGGCTGCAGCACTGCTCGCCTCCGCGCTGCCGGCTGAGCGGGCGGTCTCCCTGGCTCTCAGGCACCAGAGGCTGGGATCCAGGCCTGGCAGCCGGTGGCAGGGGTGTGTTGCCCACAGATGTATAAGCCGGTGTCACTGTAGGCTTAGCCCAGTGCCTGATGGCCATATGTAAGCGCTTAATAAATGCTATTGATGGTTTTTTTCCTTTGCCACCAGTAGGTAAGTGGATTAGTAATCATTGGAATATAAAGGGAAAGAGTACTTGCTTTTGTGTGAGTTCTGAGTTTTCCAAGTCCTTGAGTGACACAGGTCAGGGGACTTGCGAGATTGACCACTCCAGGCTTAATCTGATAATTTTCATTTCTGGGGTTTTGCATTTGCTTTTTGAATAATTGGGGTTTTGGATTTGTTGGTGTGTCATACCCAGGCACGTGCAAAGACATTGTAAATTGTGTGCATGTTGGCTAGTTCAGCCCTGGAGTTTCATGACTGGAAGGCTTGAAAAGTGGCCAAAAAAGACGTGGTACAGGTGCTAAGAGTAAGAGCTCTTTCATCAGACTGATCGGGTTCCCGACCTAACTCCCCGACTCTCCTCAGTCGCATCCCGGGGCAGGTGGCCACGCCGCCCCAGGCCAGCGCGCACTGCGCTCCGGTGGAAGCTGGCGCCTGTCGTGAGGAAGGGGCGGGGGTGGGGCGAGAGCCCTGGGCCCAGAGCCGGAGCAGAGCCCTCGGCCCTTGGTGGGGCTGTGGCCCGGGCTGGCCGCTTCTCAGGGGACAGCAGAGTCAGCTGCAGCAGTTTCGTTCTTTTAGGGAGGTGGGAAATAAATGCAGGTTAGTATTTCTAAGTTATTTTATTACCAGGGACTGTCTCCATTTAAGTGTTCTCCAGGCAAATGCACGTCTTTAGTCAGCTGAAGAAAAGCTCCCTGCCATCTCCCCGTTCCCTGTGGTCTGGTGGCTCCTGCCTAACCCTGGCCCCCATGCCCCCAGGTTCTACCTCGGCTGCACGGGCTTCCCAGAATGTCGGTCCGTCGTGTGGTTCCCCGACTCTGTGCTGGAGGCCAGCAGGGATGGGAGTGTGTGCCCCGTGTGTCAGCCACACCCTGTTTACAGGTGAGCTGGGCGCCTGAGTCAGCGCCAGGACAGAGCGTGGGTGGGGACGGACACTCAGAGGCTGGGATCCCTGTGCCCCACAGCAGCCAGGTCAGCAGGCCTGCTTGCCCCTGGAAGCCTTTGCAGGTGTGAAGCCAGCCTCGCGGGTGGTTCCTGGGCTGTCTCGGGAGGGAGGGTGGCGAAGGCGCCGTTTCCCTGCCCTCCCCTGCTAGATCGCTAGAGCATGCGGGTATAAAGGGCCATTCCAGGCCCTTCCCCAAAGCCCAGAGTCCTCAGACCTTTTGGTCATAGGGCTCCTTATGCTTGTAAAAATAAAAAAATCTTCAAGGGCTTTTGCTGTGGGTTACGTTTATCAGTATTTCCATATAGTAAGTAAGGGGGAAACGTCTTCTGAAGTTTAGCTTATTAATTGTTTATAACATGTATTGCACACTAACATAAATAACGCATTTTTAGGCTAAAATGCCTATTTTTCAAAGCAAAAAAATAATAAGAATTCATGGTTTTCCATTTTGGCAAGACTGATGTCTGGCTTCATAGGAGACAGCTGGATTCTCCTATCTGCTTCCCCAGCCAGTGTGCTGAGTTTATTGCACGTGCTGTAGACTCTGGAAAACTCTCCTGCACACACTTGGAAGAACATAAGCACAACAGACTTAGCTTCTTAGCATTGTTACAAAATATTTTCAACCTCAACTGGAAAGGGCCCAGGATGCGCCAGAGACCGCTGAAGCGCCCTTTGAGAACCTCTGGCACAGGGAACCTCTGGCTCAGAGGCTTCTGTGTGTGGTGACTAGCTGGGGTCTCAGAGTTCACCTGCCTGCCACTGTGCGCACTGTGGGGACTGGAGGGGCTGGTGGCGGGCTGGTGCGTTTCGCGATCTTCCGAGGGCGCGGGGATGCCAAGGAGAAGCCTAGAGCAGGTGCAGCCCTCTGGACCCAGGAGAAGACTCTTGTACCTGGTAGTAATTTTTTTTTCACCTTTTGGCCCTGTTAGGTTGAAGTTCAAGTTTAAACGCGGTAGCCTTCCCCCAACCATGCCCCTGGAATTCGTAGGCTGCATCGGCGGATGTGATGAAACCCTGAGGGAGATCTTGGACCTAAGGTTTTTACGGGCCCCGCCAAGAGCTGGCCCGCCAGCCAGCCAGCCCTCTGGCTACCTGCAGGCTAGCCAGTCCTCGAACAGGACAGACAGCAGCCAGCGCAGCCACCCCCCACCTCCTGATGCCAGGCCAAGCAGGCCCTTGAGGGCTCTGGCCCAGAATCTACCACCGCCCGCTGCTGCTGGTGAGAGCAACTCCGTGGTCTGCAACTGCGGCCAGGAGGCCCTGCTGCTCACTGTCCGGAAGGAGGGTCCCAACCAGGGCCGGCAGTTCTATAAGTGCCAGGGCGGCAGCTGCAGCTTCTTCCTGTGGGCCAACAGCAGCGACCCAGAAGCAGGAGGGCCTCCTTCCTCTGCAGCAAGACACCCCGCTGGCTCAGGGAACCACCCACGTGGGTTTGGTGGCCCTGGTGATAACCCTGGTGGTGGCACATCCTGCCTATGTAGTCAGGCTGCTGTCACACGGACTGTGCAGAAGGACGGGCCCAACAAGGGCCGCCAGTTCCACACGTGTGCCAAGCCAAGAGAGCAGCAGTGTGGCTTCTTCCAGTGGGTGGACGAGAACGTGGCCCCAGGTGAGGACCTGCCCTTTGCCTCAGCGGCGCTGCAGGGAGCAGCTCCGGGGCGGGCGGGGCGGGTGTGCCGAGCCCTGCCTCGGACCCAGGGCCGCGGGAGCGGAGGCGGGGAGAGGCGGTGGTGGGAGCATGAGGACCGCTGGGTCGTCCTGCTCCTCCGTCTTCTCACGCTCGTAGTGAACCGCACCGTCTTCGTCCCAAACGAAAGGGTAGCTGCCGTGAGCCTCGTAGCTTGCTGTTTGCCCGGCACTGTGCTGCGCGGGCAGCGCTAAGACAGGCGCCTTCCAAGCGCGTGATCGCATTTTTGCAAATGAGGAAGGTGAGGCTGCAACACACAGAGTGACTGCTCAGGGTCACACAGCAACGCAGCCCAAGATTTGAAAGTAGGTCGGCCTGATCCCACAACCCTGTGCTCTTGCAGCCTTTGAAAACCTTTGGGAATTGTTACCATCAGCCTCATTTATTCACATGAAGCTAGTCCTTGGGATGTCTAGGAACCTGCTCAAGGTTATGTGCACAGCTTGGACCTGGCACCTGGACATTGGATCAAGGTAGACAATATTTATAGAAGGCACTTTGAAATGGCCACTTCCGGTACACAGCAGAAGCCTAACTAAACACCTGAGAATGACCAAAGGCCTACTGGGAGCTTCGTCACACAGCTGGTTCCAAAGCCTGGCTGTCTAACCTTGAACACGTGACTTGGCCTTCCAGCCTCAGTGTCCTCAGTGAGAGGCACCTGCCTACCTTTATTACAATTCTTGTTTTATAAAGGACTTTAGTCTCAGACTGCGGTTCTTACACACATGTTCTCAGCTCTGCAGGCACAGGAAGAGCCGTATGGGCTCGGTGCGAGCGCAGGGCTGGCGGGCAGTGCTGGGGTGGCCTCCCCCCCGGGAGCAGGTGGGCGGTGGTTCAGACATGCGCAGGCCCCTCGTCTCCCCAGAGAGAGGAAGTGGCGTCTCGCCACCAGGCCCGCTGAGCACCTGTCCTGGACGATCAGACGGTCAGCACTAAGAGTAAGGGATGGAAGGGTCTGGAACTCGGGTTTCTTTGCGTGGAAGGTGGGAAGCAGGTTGCTGGTCACAGGCCCATTCGTTGCTCCTTCCACACCACACGGCCTCAGGCCAGCCTCTTGCGTGGTTTCTGCTTCACTAACAAGTGTGTACAGAGTGACACAGGGCCCTCTTCACCGGGACAGTGAGAGCGGGCCGAGGCCTTCAACAGCACAGGGTTCAGGTAGTGACACAGCATGTGGTGACACAGTGAGGGGCCTGTCCTGTGGGGTGGGGGTGACCGCATAAAGGTTGGGAGGACACCCTCTGCCCAACACTAACCTGTATTTCTTCCACTGCCATGTGTCTTTCTGAACTTGGACTTCCCCCGCCTCTTCCCACAGGGACTTTGGGGGCTCCACGCTGGCCGGGAGGCAGAGAGAAGACCCACGGACTGGAGTCCAGAAGCAAAAGAGCCCGGGCCAGTTCCTCAGACCCGGGGTCCACGGCCAAGAGACCACGGAAATGCAGCCTTTGCCACCAGCCTGGACACACGCGTCCCTTCTGCCCTCAGAACAGATGAGGGCAGGGCGGCAGAGGAAGGGCCACGTGCTCAGACCCCCGCCCGCTGTCTCAAGAACGCGCTGTGTTCAGGGGGCCTGGGGCTGCGCCTGCCTGGGGTGAGGGGTCAGGCTCCAGGGCGTCCTCTCAGGAATGCCTCCTCTCCTGGACAGCGGCCCTCTGCCCGGGATGCGAGTGACCGTGGCCACTGCTGAGCAGGCACAGAAGCCGCTTCCTGAGAGCCCGCAGGGCTGGTTGCCATGAGCACCGTGGAGAAGTGGGGGCCTAGGGCACTTAGGTTGGAGTGGCTCCGCCCGCAGCTGTGGCCTTGGGCTCCTCCGCCTCCTCCAAAGGCCAGCAGTCGTGGTGTAGGCTCAGGGCAGCCAGGAAGGACTTCTCCACACACAGCCCGAGAGAGGAGGGCGGGATGCAAGGAAATGGCTCTTGTTCCAAACTTGTGTCTACAGAAGAAGGCTTCTTCCTCTTTATGCAGAGCCCGCTGTGGCCAGGACGCTCCCAGCTTCTGTGCCTCAATAAAGACTTTTACCCTTCGGGTGCACGTGGCGCGGTGTCTGGTGAAAGGTGGCAGGAGCAGTGGGTATAGACACTAGCCAGTGCTCAAGGGACCACTTGCCAGCCGCTGGCCCTCACAGTGTCCCCTCCTGTCCTCCCTGTCCGCGGGACAGATGGGAAGCCCAGCTTTTCGCAGCCCCGCTGCATTTCCTGCAGAGGACAGCTGGCACAAGACGCGGCAGGCCCCGTCCTCTGCACCGCCAAAGGCTGCCGCGTGCCTTGCTTGCCTTTGCCAGCGCCTCGTGACTACTATGTAGCCATGTTGGCTCTCTTTTCTGCTGTAGGAGGTAAGCAGAAGTGGGGTGGGAGCGGCCCGGTCACATCCCTAGCTGGCGAACAGATGAACTCTCCTGAGGTCTTGGGACTCCTGCCGCGCCCCCTTCAGTTAGGCTGCTGGCTCTGCCCCGGCTGGATGGCAGGGTGGGAGATTTTTCTAGGTGCAGGCAGCCGCCGGGGGTTGCTCCTGGAGCACCTCGTCAGTGAGTGTGGGGCACGGGCCTGCGTCTCCCCACACTCCCGCCAGCCCGGGAAACAGCCAGTCCATTTTCTGGTTTTACCCATTCTGAACATTTCATATAAATGGGGTCATACAGAATGTCACCTTCTGTGCCTGGCATCTTTCACGTGACAGTGTTTGCCAGGCTTATCCACATAGAAGCATGTTGGTCCTTCATTCCTGCTCATGACTGGTATTCCAGTATGTGGACGGACTGCATTCTGTCCGTCCTTTCTTCACAGGGACATCCGGGGTGTTAGTTACCTTCTGGCTGCTGTGAATAGTACCGCTACAAACAGTCACGTAGAAGTGTTTGAACACCTGCTACCATTTCTTTCGGGAATATATGTAGGAGTAGAGTTGTGGGCCATACGGTAATTCTGTTTAACCACCAAACGACCTCCCAGAGCAGCCTTACCGTTTTACAGTTCCACCAAAGAGTGTTCTATTTCTCCACATTCTTACCAATACTACACTTTTTTTTTTTTTTAATTATGGCCACTTAGTGTGTGTGAAGTAAAATCTCATTGTGGTTTTGACTTGCATTTTCCAAATGATACTGATGTGGAATATCTTTTTATGTGCTTTTTGGCCATTTGTATATCTTTGGACAATTATCTGTCGAAGTGTTTTGCCCACTTTTCAACTAGGTTGTCTGTCTTTGTTGAGTTGCAGGAGTTCTTTATAGATTCTGGGCACTAGATATATTTGTGGGTTACAGTCTTCCTACCAGTGACTCCTCCGTGTGCCAAGAGCAAGAGCCGCTGGACCGGAGCGCGCCAAGGACGCCCCCGCTCAGGGCTCGGCGCCCCCCCCGACCCCCCCCCGCCGACCCCAGTGTTGTGTCTGCCCCCAGCCCGCGCGGCCTCGTCGAGACGCACTGTGCCAGCTGCCTGGAGGCCCCTTGGTGAAGCGTGACGGTCCGGCTGCAGCGTGCCCTTCATGAGCAAGAGCCGGCGGAATTCACCACATCTCTGGGTGCTCGACGTTCTTGCGGCACCTCTGCCTGCCCCCATCTGGAAGACAGCAAGAGCAGCCACCCCCCCGCACGGCTGCTGCCACTCGGGGCACCCCTCTCTGATACGTGCTGCCCCGGGAGCAGCGAGAAGCTCAAAACTAAGCCCCGCTCACCCTGCCGCCGGCTGCGCTCCAAGTGCCACGCCCAGTGCCCGGCAGCACTGCGCTGACATCAGGCACCAGCTCTGGGACGCTGGGAGGGGGCCCTGCTATCCTTTGGGGTGAATTCACAGCCACCTTCCCTTCTGGGGCTTCCTGCAGCCCAGAACTTCAGCTGCTCAGAACCAAGGACCTCTGACTACAAAGAATACAAAGGTGGCATGCGATCAACTAGCAAGCCAGGGCGGTGCCACTCACTCCTGGTGATCATCCCTGCTAGGGATGTGAGCACTCCGCCCCGCCTCAGGCCGCCGACCACGGTCACACTGGGAGGTGGTGCGGGTTGGGGGGCGGGGCAGCCCACGTCTGGCCAATTAAATTGTTGTCTCGGGAAATTGGCTGCAGGACGAAGATGGCCCAAAACAGCATCCTCAGAGTCGGCTGTGTCGGCCTTTGGAAGACACTCTGGGTCTCATTCCCCTGCACCTGTAGCTTCCTCATTGAATTAGAGGCAACCAGATTGTAATGTCAAAAGTAAAAAGATTTTACCTGTTCACTTTTGGAGAGGGGAAGGGAGGGAGAAAGAGGGAGAGAAATATCGATGTGTGAGAGAAACCCGGTTGTGTTGCCCTGCGCGCGCCCCCATCCGGGGACCTGGCCTGCAACCGGGGCACGTGCCCTGAGCAGAAACCAGACCGGCGACCTTCCCGTTTGTGGGATGACGCCCCACCCACTGGGCCACACCAGCCAGGGTGGGGGGGTTTTAAGCATATTTTTCTGATTAGGAAAGAAAAATACACTTTTGAAAAATGCACATGTGTCATGTACTAGGCTGAAGACCCCTTGGTTTAGAGCAGGGCAGAGGTGGAGCGGTAGCCCGGGACCGGGGGCTTCAGGCTGGCTGCACCCCAGCTCCCGAGGCAGGTCACCTGGATGGCCCTCGGCCAAGCCGGCCTCCTGCCCCAACCCTGGCCAGAGCCCGCGTGCAGCCCTGCAGCCGTCCGAGCACCACGAAGGCCTCGGCCGCCAGCGGCAGCCCAGGGCTCTGCAGCCAGGGGTGCACGCGGGCATCTCATCTGTCCCACGTGACAACCCCTCGGCTGAGGGAGGTCTCCAGCCCTGTCCTTGCTCCTTGTCATGTAGCCACAGTTGGAAGGGCCGGCGGGCGGGGGGTGTCACTTTAGGAGATACAATGGATGGGAAGGAGAGAAGCAAGTGGGAACGGTGTAGCCGTGGTGCCCACCCCGTAAGTACCCACGGTCTTGTTTGTCACGTGGTGGCAAAGGAAGTAAGCCGAACGTCGGCTTCTGTGTGGACACCGATGCACTTGCTTCGCTGTCTTTTCGGGGGGTGTCCCCCATTTGTGAGGCCACAAGGAGACAAGGAAGGTGAAGAAATCACATTTCTCTGGCTATACTGGCTGGAGGGCTCAGGGATAGATCTAGCCATCCCAGAAATCACAGGGGTTTTGAACTAAAAAGATTCAGGCTTTGGGAAGAAACAAAGCCCCAGCTGGTTCCCAAGAGCAAGATGTCCCACCGGGACCCTGGAATAGCCTCCTTCCGTATAACCTTCACCAGTCAAGTTGTACCACCTCCAGGTGGATTCCGAGACCCTCTGGCCAAGATTCCAAAACTCTAAACAGCTGCTTATGAGAGCCCAGCACTAGTTACACGAATGTTTGAATCCTTCCTTTTATTCTTGTTCACCTTTGAGATACAAGTCTGCTTCAACAGGAAGGACAACAAAGATAGGAGGAACACCTGGGGGGGGGGCGGATCCTCCCTTTCCTCTCGCCCCACCTTGCCAGGCTACACCTTGCCAGGCTACGGTGAGAACGCAGGCGTCAGCTGAGAGCATCATGTTGGCGCCCAGAGGCCACCTTGCAGAGGCCTTTCCAGGAGGGCCCAGCCTTTGCTCTCTAGCCGGGCCGAACAGCAGCTGGCAGGACACCCTTGGCTCTAGGCAAGGCAGGCAGTGCAGAATCTCAGCTCCCCCTGGAGGGAACAGGCTCTCCCAGGGCCCCCGCTGCCCAAAGAGGAAACTCCTGGCTGGAGGGAACGCCCTCCGCAAAGGCGTGAGGCAGGCAGCTCCTCAGGCTGAGCTCCCACTCCAGGCTGGAGGAGAGCTCGACAAGCAAGCTAGACCACACACTACGGCAGAAGACACCCGCCTTTAAGTCAGCCACAGAGCTGCATCCTGCAGGGTGTCATCCTGTAGGTACCAGGTGACACCCGCCCAGAGGGATGAACAAACACATGGTATTTACCATCCCCCACCAGAAGCCTAGGGATGCCTGGAGCTGGTGCCCAGCAAAGCACCAAACTCACCCTCCCAACAGAAAAACAGCTGGTCTTAACCTCTGCCTAAAACGGCAGAAGCCATTTTCTGTCAGCGGATTCACTGCTGGTGACGACAGAGCAAGCCCGAGTCTGGGGCTGGCCCGCAGACCACGGGCGTGTGAGCGGCTGGCATCCAGGCTACCTGAGGGGCGGCACAGCCTTGCTCCGGTGGCAGCAGCCCAAGCTCTCTGGGCTCAGAAGTCCCAGCGACTGCTGCCTACACACATGCTAACCCCGTGGGCTTAGGTAAGGCACCCTCTTTTATTCTGGCGAAAAGCACAAGAAAAACTGCTCTCCAAATCCCGGGGAGAGGAGCGCGCAGCTCACCAGCATCAGAACGCCTGCCCCGCCCCGCCCCCTACAGCAGCCCCTCGGGGGCCTGCAGGCCGAGGTACAGCACAGAGCCCATGTTGTCAATCTCCTGCTGGCGCAGGCTGTCGAAGAGGTTCACGGCAGGGTTGAAGTGGCAGGGCAGGCTGGCCTGCTCGAGGCTGCCCACGAGCAGCTCCAGAGCCTGCAGGAAGCGCGCGCCCAAGGCCTCCTCGGCCCAGTCCCCCTCCTCCTCTCCCAGACGGAGAACCACCTGGGTCAGGTGGCCCCGGCTCAGCTGCCGCAGGGCCGGATGGCCTCGGCAGACACTACACAGCAGCAGCAGCAGCCGCCGGCGGGTCCCCGAATCACGGTCATCCAGAGCTCGCAGCCTGGCAGCTTCTGCCAGGTACAAGTCCTGCAGCCAGAAGTTCCCAGCCAGCCCCTCCAGGGGCCAGGCCAGAAGGAGACGGTCCTCAGGGTCGGCACCAGTGGCTGCCAGGAGCACAGCAACAGTGAGCTCCAGGCGCTCATGCTGCACCTCAAGGAGCAGCTCCTCCGAGGCCATGCTGGGCCGGATCAAGCACCCAAGAAGGCTGCCAATAGCTGGCCAGTTGACGGAGGCGGCCAGGGCCTTGCGGAGCAGTTCCAGCAGGACACGGGAAGAGAGATAGCCACCCACCAGGAAGCGGTCCCAGGGGCTGCTTCCACGGGGACAGAATTCAAGCTGAGTCCTGCGCACAGCCCAGCAGCGAGGGTCCCTGGCCACCGTGTCCACGCCAGGCACCAGGCTCCACAGGCCGGGCTCCAGCACCAGAGGGACCAGGAGACGCACGTGGTCGGCAGCCCCTGCCTGCAGGCCATCATAAAGCGGCCCGCCAGGCACAAGTGCCCCGAAAGGCAGTTCTGGGAACTTGCTCCGCAAGTAGGCCTGCAGCTCCAGGGCAATGTCGCCAGCCAACTGTTTGGCCAGAGCCACATGAGACACCGGGATGCTCACATGGTCTCGCTCGTACGCCAACAGCTTCTCCTGGAACGTCAGGCACAGTGGTGCTCGGGATCTTAGCTGAGGAGCCGGCTGACGGTCAGCATCTGCAGGCCCCTCTGCAGAGTGAAAGGGGCAGGGGACATGTCAGAAGCCCTGTGACAAGCCAAGAGAATGCTACAGAACTAGAAGCTGTGTCCCAGCCCTGGGCTTCATTGTCCTCACCCATGAGGTGACTGCCTGAGAAAGCACTTAGCTCGGGTCCTCACGTGAAGAGCACGTTGAAAACAAATTCTCTGGGGCCAAAACAGCTTCATGCAGAGTGGGAAGTTGGGTCCTGGACCTCAGTGTCCCCATCAAAGGCCCCTCCCTGCCTTCATCCTACTGCCCTGCTCTGGGACCACCCCGAAAGGTCCCAGGTCCCAGTGGTTGGCAGGAGGGCAGAAAACACACCACCATCAAACATGCAGGGAGCCCGCAGCCCTGGGGGAGGGGAGACTCGCACCGGTCGCAGTCCGTCAGTGGCAGAGCCTGGGCTGCGTGCACCTCCTCAGTGTGACCTCCAAAGGGAGACCCACCCAGGTCCCAGGTTAGAGGGGAAACGGTGCCATTCACCTGGGGCAAAGAGTAAGGGGGCTGAGAGAAGCACAGGCTGGCTGAGGGCAGCAGGTGAGGACCGGCCCTGCAGGCGCGGTGTGGCCTTGAGCAGGCTCAGGTCCTTCCAACTGTCCTCCAGGCACGTGGTGTCTCCCTTAACGTCGTCCTCATCCCGAGGGCTGGTAGCCCTGTCAATGAGCTGCAGGCAGAGCAGCCCCGGTCAGAGCGTCCGAAGCCTGCGCAGCATGGCAAAGCCCCAGGGCCCAGCGAACAGGCCGCGGGGGGCCAGCCGTGGGCAGTCCCCCCCCCGCCTCCCCCTCCCCCCCCGCAGGCCCCAGCCCTGCGACCCTCCTCTGGGCACCCCGGGGGTAACTGGCCCAGCACGGCCTTACCCGCTTCACAGCCAGGGTGGCGATGCCCAGCACGGCAGCGCCGCCCACGCCCAGCACGAGGCGGGCGTTGGCCAGGAGGAAGTCCACCGCGCTGCTCCACGCGTCGTCGTCCTGCCGCTTCCCCCGTTTCTGGGAGAACTGCGCCATGTCCGCCTGCCTGAGAGGGAGCCAGGTGCAGGGACCTCTGAGCACGGGGGAGCCAGGCTGACAAGGGAGCGGGGGCTCCGGTTGCCATCGGGCCAGGGTCACTGACCAAAGCCCACAAGGGGGTGCCTGAGAGTTTCATGACAAACAGGCCACTCGCAGGGCATCTTATGAGGAGGAAGGGAAGTGCCTGAGCCCCCTCCCCCAAATCTGCAAACCAACCCGCCCACCCCCTGGACAGGGGGGCTCACACAGAAGGGCCCTCAGGCAGGTCAGGTAAGGGGCCCATCTCCCTGACCCTGTCCTCCAGGATTCCTGACATCGCCAAAGACCACGAGGAGGGTCTTAGTATCACCCCAGTTTTACAGAGAAAGGCTGCTGAACCACACAGTGAATGGCAGGTGCTTGGACCCACAACTGCAAAGCCTCCTGGCTCCCACCCACCCCCAGAGCCCCTAGAGGCTGCCTTATCTGGTTCTTAACCAGGGCTGGGCACAGCAGGAAGAGACGAGGCCCAGTGAAGACCATGACCCGGGGCCCTGGACAGCCTGCCCTGGGGGGCCTCTCAGACCTTTGGGGAATCTCAGCGAAGCCATAATTACCTCCAAATTTCACCAGGGTAGCCGCGAAAGACAGAGCTATCAAGGCAAAGGACAGGACTAGTGAGATGGCCCAGCTGCCCAGCAGCAGGAGCTGCCTGTCAGTGAGTATGTGCCAGTCAAGCCCAAAGGCCCTGCTGTGTGGACAGTGAGCAAAGCAACTCTACACTGCGAAGACTCCGACAGAGGACTGGCCCAGTGCCTGGGGACAGGGCCTCTATGCGCCTCTTGGGCTTGGGACAGTGGGGATGGGGGGCTGTCCTCAGCTGCAGGGAGTCCAAGTAATAGAGAAGGTAAGCTGAGGGCCTGAAGCCCCAGGTACCTGCTCACCTGTAAAGTGGCACAGACAGCAGGGAGGAAGTGAGAAGTGAGGGGCCGAGAAGTTGGAAAGTGGAGGCAGAGACCTCTCCCAGGGCTCTGTCCACCAGGCCCCAGACTCTGGTTCTTCCAGAGGGACTCCTGCCCTTAGGCCCTGAGAGCTGAGGGTGAAGTTGGCTGAGCAGCAATTGCCACCCGCGGGCCCAGCCAGACGCCAGGCAGAACTTGTCTTGCTGTGGGGCACCTGAGCAGATGACCCTGAGCTCAGAGCCAGCTCTGAGGGCACCAAGGACTTCTGCCCTCCCTGTTCGGCTGTGGGGGCCCAGGACTGCTGCCCGGGGAGGAGATGCCTGGAACAGCTGAAGCCTGACTCACTCGGGAACGCAGCCCCAGCCTCCCATGCTCCCAGACCGAAAAACAGGCTCTGGAGCCTGCGTTGGCCCCACGCTGACAGGGTGCCCACCTCGGTCCAGCAACCACCACCGGCCTCCAGCGGAACCAGGAGTACACTTTACAAACTGTACAGAGCTTTCAACACCCGCCGCCTGTCTAACTTGGGACTCAACCGAGCCCCTGGCGGGGTCACGCAGGCCCAAACCCGCAGCCTTCCAACTCCGGGAAGGGGGAGAGGGAGCGGGTGGTTAAAAATAACCCGACCCTGCGCAGCTGGGCCCCACAACGCCCTGGGATGTCACCTGTCCTCCCACTCCTCTGCCAAACCCAGGGCCAGGGCCCCCGCAGTAGCTCCTGGGGGCCTGTCAAGGCCCGGGTCACAGGGGCGTGGTGCGCACAGAGGCCCTGAGAAACTAAGTGATGTACCCAAGATGGGATTCGAACTCTCGCCCACGGGTGCAAGGCCCTAGCCTCATTTCACCGCCTGAACCCCGGGCCCGGCGAAGGCCACGCCCCCCGACCTGCGTCCCGGGCACGCTCCAAGCCCGAGCCTGGGTGACCCTGGATGGGCCGCCGCGCTCCGGCCGTACCTGCGTCGAGACTTCAGCGCAGCGACCGGCGGGCGCAGTGGGTGTCCTCGGGTGCCCGACCCGGGCCTGGCTGAGAATGGAATGTAAAGGGCCCGGACCGAACGCTGTGGCCCGGGAGGCGGCCACTGACTCCGAAACGCACGCAGACGGGCAGGCCCCGCCTCCAATCAGAGCACTGAAAGCCTGGTTCTCTTGCCAAAATACCACGTGGTCCAGCCAATGGCGAGAAGGCCACGCCCCTGCCGGGTTGCGCGAGTCCGCCGGGGGCGGGACTTTCTGAAGCATCCTGAATTTAAAGACGCAGGGCTGTGTTCCGAGCCGGTGGCTGGGTGGTGTGGTGCTTGTCCCCCGCTTTGCGGAATAAGCCGGGCCCGGAGCCTGTTGTGACGTTTACGCACTTGTAATATGAGCCTTCGGTGTGGAGAAAGCGGTCCGAGCCCACGTTCCGTCCAGGGGCTAGGCAGGCAGGCGGCAGCAGGCCCCGCGCTGCCGGGTATCGGCTGACCCTTTAGGTCACCTCTGCGAGAGTGCCTGGGAGGCTACTTTATTCTTACCTACTGGCCCGCGGGGCACACAGTGTGAGCCAGAACCTTCCCTTGCCGCAGGCTCCGTGTGACCGTGTGCCGGCCACTTCACCGTGCCTCAATTTTCTCTCTTGTGAAACGGAAGCTCCAGACCCCTTCCGCTCCCGAGGAGGGTTGTGCATATAACCTGTGCTTTATTTGGCATTTATTTATGGGGGCCTGCTAAGTACCGATCGGGACGGCGTTAGGGAGGGCGCGGCAAGTAAGCAAATCAACTGGCGGTGTGTGTGTGGAGGAGGGGAAGTTGACTCGAAGCGGGAGTAATAACGTGCCGCTTTTTGAGTGCCCGCTGTGTGCCATGGGCTGCGCCCGTTTGTTCATCCGTTTCTGGCGACAACCTCAGGAAGCATTTCACAGGGGAGGGAGCAGGCCGGGAGCAGGCCTGGGCTTGCCCAGAGTTGTAGGACCAAGGGCCCGGCCCAAGCATCCTACTCCCAGTGGGCGCCACGCAGGGCCCTGCGTGCGGATAGAGACCCCTCGGGCAGGCAGCTGCGACCCCGGGCCTGGGTCCCAGAACCCGTCGCGAGGCCAACTTCGGTGGCCGCAGCAGCGCAGGAGACAGGTGCAGCAGAGCCCGGGGTGCACCACTGCCCCGGGCGCGCGGGGACTTCTCAGGCTGGAGGTCATGAAGCCTCCTGCGCGAGCACAGGGGGCGCCTGGACTCCTCGAAGCCCCTGCAGTCCTCGAACAGACGGGGGAACTGAGGCCCGGGCAGGCCTAAAGTCTTTGCGGGGACAGGGGACGGGGACCGGCGCTTCCCGCGGTGCCCGGGGGCGCCGGGGCTAAAGGGGCTGGGCCCAGGCTCCGCCTTTCCGCCCGCCGGGGCGGGGATGGGTTAAAGGGGCGGGGTCGGCGGTGGCCCAGCCCGCGGCTTCCCCGCCACCCCCCGCGCCCGGCCCGGCCCGGCAGTGAGAGCGGCGCCATGGAGGCCACTGGAGTGTTACCGTTCGTGCGCGGCGTGGACCTCAGCGGCAACGACTTCAAGGTGAGTCGGACGGGTGGCGGGGCCGTCTCTTCCGCTCCTGCCCGCCTGGGTCTCCGCTTCCTGTCTTGCCTGCCTCCCGACCCAGTGCCGCCCGGGACTGAGGGCGGGGCCGGGTGGGGCTCTCCCTGGGCCCAGATCCCCCGCCCTGAACGCTCAGCCCGGGGCCCTGCACAGGAAGACCGAGGCCGGGTCGGGCTGGCTCCGACGCCAGCTCTCAGAGTCACGCTAGGGGGTGGGCTGGAAGCCGCTACCCCGTGTCCCCGTCCTGGCATCTGGGTAGGGGTTAGCGAGTTCTGTCCCCCGCTTTCCCAGCCTTCCTCTCCGGTCCCGCTGAGGTCACTCGCCCAGGCTGGGCCCTGACTCACTGCGTGCCGCCGGCGGTCCAACAGCCCGGGTGGGGTCTGCGGCTCATCACTGCCACTGCCTTGTTCCTGCCACCCGCACCCTCCCCCTTGGTGTTCTTATTCTGTGGAAGGGCTTAAAAGTTAACCCCTTGGAGACATGGCTTAGTAGTTGGTTTGGAGAATGTGTCAGGCAGGTGGGGGAGACCCTGGGTGGCAGCTGGCAGACTGATGGACCAGCGCCACCAAGAGCCTGAGCCCAGCCTTCCTACGTTGGTGGGCAGGGTGGTTCTAGAGAGTGGAGGGTGAGGTGGGCAGGGGGGGACCCTGGGAGGCAGGGCAGGAGTGGAGGGAGGGGAGAGCTGGCCTGGTCCAAGGCCCAGCCCAGGCTGGAGGATGGGTGAGTGAGCAGACTCAGGCTGGAGTCAGTTTAATGCCAGCCTGGTGTGCAGGGTCAGGGAAGCCAGACCGGCTGGGATCAGGGGTTGGTTGGGCCAGGGCCGAGGAGGCAGGCAGGTTCCTCCTGCATGTATCCGCATGGGCACGTACCTTTGACCCACATACAGGTGACCACACCACTTTCCTCTACCTCCACCCCTACCATCCTCACCTGGGGTCTCCATGTGCCCTCTCCAGACTGAAAATCTGAGTCACTGGCCAGGAATGTGGCAGTTGGGGGGAAGGGGACCCCAGCCAAGGGCACTGAAGACACGTGCTACCCCAGGCTCCCTGCCTGAGGTGGGCGTTCATGCGAATGTGGGGAATGAGGGAGGCAGTACCTGTGCAGGGTGGGGAGCTGGGGCCTTGCACCAGGGCTTTGGACCTTGTCACAAACGGCTTGTATGCTGATGATGAAGGGCACAGGCAGGCCCACGGTAGAGGCTCGGGGGTGCCCCCACCGCAGACGTGCCAGCAGAGCTTGGGATGCTGGGCGGAGGCATGTGAGCCAAGCAGACCGCACAGCTGGGTGCTGGGGTCCTCACCTGGAACAGCTCCACCCTGACCCTCCTGGGGCTCAGAATCCAGCAAGAGAGAGAGGTCTTAGGCCGACAGCCATCCTCATCACTCGCTGGTCCTCGCAACACTCCTGTCATGAGGGGGCTTTTATTAGCCCCATTTTGTGGTCAGGAAATTGAGGCATAGAGCAGCAAAGTGACTTGTCTGGGGTCACACAGCTGGTGAGAGTTGGCTCTGTTGCTCCCCAAAGGCTTCCGTGGGCAGTTGGGGGCCATAGAGGGTGGCAGAGCAGGGACATGCCTCCCCCAGACCAGCCTCCCAGACACCGTGAATACCCCCCAGGGAGGCTACTTCCCTGAGAATGTCAAGGCCATGACCAGTCTGCGATGGCTGAAGCTGAACCGCACCGGCCTCTGCTACCTGCCCGAGGAGTTGGCTGCCCTGCAGAAGCTGGTAAGGGGCTTTCAGCGGGCAGAGGGGGTGTCCGTGGATAGGGCCGGACCAGGTGCAGAAGGCAGGTGACAGAGAAGGATGTCGATAGCCACGGGCAGAGCTGGCAGAAGCACCCTGCCCCTCGCAGCGTGCAAGAAGAGGCGGGATCTGCGAGGGCGGGATGCTGCAGACGAGGGCTGGGCCTGTGGGGCCGAGGGGCCCCTGAATGGTGCAAAGTTGTGGTGGCAGGTGGAGGCTCCAGAGACACCCCGCTCACCCCACTGAGCCTCTGCTCCCTTGTCCTGGCCCAGGAGCACTTGTCCGTGAGCCACAACCACCTCACCACGCTTCATGGGGAGCTGTCCAGCCTGCCATCTCTTCGGGTGAGTGTTGCTAGGGGCCACCAAGTTTGGGGTGGGGACCGGAGCCCAGCTAGCCAGGGGCGTGAGGCCAGGGTCCGAGCCTGAGCTGCACCATCACCTCTGCCTGTGCCGGCGTTGGGCTCCGGGGCTCGTTCCTGAAGGAGAGAGGATGCAAAGGTGTTCTGTGTTCAGTAACCCATGGGGAACAGGTGAAGAACCCAAAATCCCACATATTTTGTGCAACAACTACAATAATAATTATTAGCGGTTAAGCACTATTGCAAGTATTCCACGTGCGTTTTTCCGTATAATCCTGACCTTTACCAAGTTCACAGAAGAGGGTATTTGGCCACAGAGGTCACTTGGCCAGAGGTCACTTGCCAGGCCTGGTAGAGCTCAGGGGCGCAGGGGGGAGGGGGTTGGCCAGAAGGGGAGGTGGTCGCTGCGGCCTGCTCACACTTCTGTTCTTCATGGAGCTTCTGACATTCCAGAACATCAGGCTCCTGGCGAGACCCTTCGGGCCTCGGCCAAAGGTCATTCCCACCCAAAGGCAAAGTCCTGAGATATTAGGGGCTCAGGCTGCTTGAGCTCACATCAGCTCTGCCACTTCCTGCCTGCTGACCTCAGACAAGCCCCATTTTTGGGGAGGGGCGGGGGTTCAGTGGGGACCACATGAAGCAGCGCGGCGCCACACAGACCCAGGGCTGACGAGCGGCGGCAGCTGCCCTGGGCGCTGCTGTTACCTGCAGTCCGGGCAGCGTTCCCCGGCCTCCCCTCTGCCCCCCGCCTTTCTGCATGTCTGTAGCACGAGGTTTTAGTCCTCAGAGGAGAAAAACAGGCCTGCTCGGTCCTCACTGATTTTTCTTCGGGCCAACCCTCTCCCTCTGCTGTGGAAGCCCTGACTCAGAAACACATCCCTGTCTTGCCCTGTGGAAAGGAGAAGGATTGTTCAGTTGGAAGAGCTTCCCTGATGGTGCTGGGCTGGCTGCGGGGGCTCATTTGAGCTGGGCTCTGAGGTGTGGATAGGAGCCTATAGGGAGACTAGGAAGAGCTTGCCAGGCGGAGGGACCATGAGCAAAGGCCAGGGAGGGAGAGCCTGCAGGCCTGGCCTCCAGTGACCTTCCGGAGGAGGTGTCCCGCCCTGGTCCTTCCGCCTCTCCTGGGGGAAAGGGCCAAGAATCACAGCCTTGCACCGTTTACCCCAGGCCATCGTGGCTCGAGCCAACAACCTGAAGAATTCTGGAGTGCCCGATGACATCTTCAAGCTGGATGACCTCTCAGTACTGGTCAGTGGCTACCCTCCGCTGTTCTCCCATTTTACAGATGGGGAAACTGAGGCTTTGAGTAGGCAGCGCCTTGCCCAAGGTTGCTCGTGGAGTCCAATCCTTGGCCTGGGCACCCCCCTGCCAGGGCCTGGCTGTCTCCCCTTGGCCCTGAAAGCCCCTGATCTGCTTGCTCCC